GAGTAAACAATGATGATGTGGAGAACAAATCTCACCGAGCCCAAGGGCGAGAGCCATTCGTCCATCTCGCCATTTGAATACATAATGGTCCAGGATCGTATGTCTTCCATAGTCATTGTACTCATTTCTGGTGAAAAGAAGCACAGGGCTAACTTCGATCACGGTCTGGGGTGGTATAATGCGAGATGCTGCGAACCGCCATTTTTCTTCAACTTTTATTCTAAGATCTATACGAGATTGCCCACCATAAACACCTCTTCCTTTGCCTTGTGCAGTCCTTATGCAACACCCTTCACGGTTCAAGACCCAGTTACTCTGGCACCATGAATTTTCCGTAGATGATTCCCCTGAGCTAGTTGAGGTGTTTGATGTCGTGACCGTAAACGGAAGAGTAGCCATAAGCCATATCACGTGCTCAAATTCAAACTTGCTCCTGACAGTGACACGTACTAAACGGCGCGTCAGTCACGGTGGTGGAGAGTTTTATCAACAAGAACATCAATATCATACTGGAGCTTCGGCGGGCAAGCCATGGCGCCTCCACTATCCCCCAGGCCACTTCCTAGCATTTTGCTCATATCCCTAATACCAATTGCTTCATGGTTTGTTGTTCGTCCTCTGCTAGACCCCGTCCCTCCATTGCCAGCCCTATGGGCATCTGTTGGGTTCTCTATATTCGCATTTGTCGCTGCGCTTTACTTGGTTCCTGCACTTGGACCAACATTCGTGAAAGCCAACTTGAAAGGGAAGGATCTTTTGAAGGTCTACTCCGATCCTATGTTCGTGTCATTAAACGAGTGCGAGGTCGAAAGCTGACCTGCATATTAAGACCAGAGAGTCAAGGCCTCGTCTGCGCGTCGATATATATCCTGCTGTTAATCTTATTCATTCCTTTCCCATTCTCAACTTCCATCGCAAGCCTTTCGGGCGGAGGAAGCAAGATCGAAGGCTTGCTGGGCGCTGCGTCTCTACATCACGAGGTAAGTGTCTCCTCAGTGTTAAGAAGAATATTTGTGTAACCAGAAGTCAAGCTATCCATATATCTGTCATCATTGCTATCGCTCTTGATGGCAACTGTGTTGGGGTTCCTCGACGATGTGTTCGATATTCGATGGAGGCATAAACTACCTATCCCGCTTATTGCTGCCATACCGCTCTTGATGGTCTACTATGCAGAAGGAGGGAATACTCATGTAGTTGTACCCATTCCTCTTCGGCCATTCCTTGGCCTTCTCGTTAACCTAGGTTTGTGGTTTTCATTGTATCATCGCTTGTGATGCCTCAACATACATTCAGGTCCCCTGTATTATCTTTACATGTCACTCCTTTCGACATTCACCACTAATAGCATCAATATTCTCGCTGGGATCAATGGCTCCGAAGTCAGCCAAGCATTGATCATTGCAATCTCAGTTATTATCAATGATCTTTTATACATGCCCTGGCCATTTGACTTCCGTATACCCATGCACCTTCTCGGCAATCAAATAGAAGTCGAAATTGGTGGTGCTTGGCAGGCAGGAATGGCCTACGGAAGTAGCGAACTTGTTGATAGACATCTTTTCAGTCTGTACTTCATGCTTCCTCTCGTGGGTGTATGTCTTGGATTTATGTATCATAACTGGTGGGTTCGAATGACCCAGTCCTCGAATTGCTATTTCTCATTGCCCATAGGTATCCTGCGCGTGCATTCCCTGGAGACACGCTCTGTTATGTTACTGGAATGGCCTTCTCCGTGGTCGGAATACAGGCGCACTTCTCCAAGACTCTACTCCTGTTCTTTATTCCTCAGATTTTCAACTTTTTGCTCTCATGCCCACAGCTCTTCGGTATCGTGCCGTGTCCTCGCCATCGCGTTCCAAGGTTGTACCATAATTTCTGAGATACAGTCCGTCATCCACCAACTTATGCTATCCTTTTAGATTCGTTCCTGACACCAATTTGTTGTACCCCTCAAAAGCCGTCTTTGATAAACGGCCTCCTACGAGGCTCGCGTCTCTTACCCTTCGTATATTCGCTACACTTGGTCTCACAGAGTTGACTGTGGACCCAACAAACGGAGTTGTCCTTGAAGCCACCAATCTGACGATCCTCAATTTCCTTCTCTTGCGTCTGGGTCCTATGAACGAGAAGAAGCTCGTCCAGGTACTTATGTGTACTCAGGTGCGCAGGTCTAGCATACCGCTATTCGCCAAATTACTGACGCTGGCTGGCATCTCCTCCCTGAATCCTTTCCTAACAGATCGCGGGCAGTGTCCTTGCTTTTACCATACGCTACGGTTTAGCTGGCCTTGTCTATGATGGCGACAGGCGGTGATGGTACATATATTGTCATGGGGCGCGCCTTATAATGGGTCGCGTGCCTGCCCCTGGATACGACGGCTTTGCGTTGGCACAAACAGCCCGCGCTCGTCACGATCAGTGACGTGCGGAGATCCGCTGTCGTGAGAGAATTGAACTGAGTCATGTAGAATGTAGAATGTAGAGGAGTGAGCGCTTGAGCAGCTAGTGCAGTGTTGGGCAAGAATAACTATTGAAACTAACGGCCACCTCGGGGTCTTAAATGATGCCGAATGCCCTGCCGGGCGTAGCTTTGAGCAGGTCTCCCGCTGAAAATCCGTATAACGCCGCCTGTATGTTCCGTGTTTCCGGACATAGAGCGTAATCACGAGCCTCTCATCGTTATTATCGGCTTGTGATCTGTATCAAGATGTATGAGCTCTGACACTACTAGTTTATTTTTCTTCGCTTGTTTCAAATGAACTAGTGAGGTGGAATCACATGTCTCAGTCATACCTCGCCGCTGAGCTTTACTGACCACTTAATAGATTCTTCCCTCCCCACTTCAATATCCTATTCCTGTCACTTCCCGTATTGTTATGGCCAATACTGAACGCTCCGCTTTCCAGACTGAGGTCGCTGAGGTCGAACGGTGGTTCCAGGTGAGCCCCTAAACTCCAATAACTGAGTTACAGTATTGAGCAATGTCGATCATGAAGAGCCCACGTTTCGCCAGAGTGAAGCGGCCATATACCGCTGCTCAGGTCGTCGCGAAACGTGGTAGCATCCCAATCAAGTATCCTTCCGAGATTCAAGGAAAGAAGCTCTTCGCCCTGCTCTCCGAGCACGCCAAGAATGGTACACCTTCACACACATACGGAGCGTAAGTCACCTCCGCACAACTACTGTGTGACGGTATTGATGGAAAGCGCATAGCCTAGACCCCGTACAGGTTACCCAGATGGCCAAGTACCTCGAGACAGTTTATGTTTCTGGTTGGCAATCCTCCAGCACGGCTTCGTCTACCAATGAACCCGGCCCCGATCTTGCAGGTACGCACTTTCCTTCTGCGATGACGTAGATTCCCTAACTGGCTTCCAGATTACCCCTCGAATACGGTTCCTAACAAGGTTGAGCACCTATTCATGGCACAGCTCTTCCATGACCGTAAGCAACACGAAGCTCGCTCAAATATGTCTGAGGCAGAGCTTGCGGCGACACCGCCCATCGACTATCTTCGTCCAATCGTTGCCGATGCTGATACCGGACATGGTGGACTCACTGCAATCATGAAGCTTACAAAGATGTTCGTCGAAAAAGGTGCGGCTGGTGTTCATGTCGAGGACCAAGCACCTGGGACAAAGAAATGCGGCCACATGGCGGGCAAGGTTCTCGTGCCGATATCTGAGCACATCAACCGCCTTGTTGCCATCCGACTTCAATATGACATCATGGGTGTAGAGAACTTGGTCATTGCACGGACTGATTCGGAAGCCGCTACCCTGATTACCTCAAACATTGATGAGCGCGACCACCCCTTTATTTTCGGCTCCACAAACCCGGATCTCCCCCCTCTTGTGAATGTTATGACCGACGCCGAGAATGCCGGAAAGTCTGGTGATGATTTGCAAGCGGTTGAGGACGCTTGGACTGCCTCTGCAAAATTGCAGTTGTTCTCCGAGACCTTGGCTAATGCCCTGACTGCACAAGGTGTATCAAAGGCTACCGTTGATCAATTCATCACCCGTGTTACGCACTCGTCATTCCCTCAAGCAGTAGTCATCGCACAGAGAGAATTTGGTCTCAAGTCTGTGCCCTACTGGAACTGGGATACACCTCGGACCCGGGAAGGGTTCTATCGCTACCAAGGTGGCACCCAGTGTGCGATTAAACGGTCTATTGAGTATGCACCATACGCCGATGCCCTTTGGATGGAAACAAAGAAACCGATCTTGGCTCAAGCCCAAGAGTTCGCTCGTGGGGTCCATGCTGCACGCCCAGGTCACTGGTTGGCATACAACCTCAGCCCTTCCTTCAACTGGGAGGCCGCTGGCTTGAATAGTCAGGATATGAAAGGTTTCGTCTGGGAGCTAGGTAAACTTGGCTTCGTCTGGCAATTTATTACGGTCAGTACTTGACAAATTACATACTAACAATCAAACTGACTGAATCTTACCTGTCAGCTCGGTGGCTTGCACTCCAATGCGTACATAAGCGACCTCTTTGCTCGCTCATATGCGAAAGAAGGTATGAAAGCGTACGTGGAGATTGTCCAGAGCAAAGAGCGGGAGATTGGCTGCGATGTCTTGACGCATCAAAAGGTTTGCTACTACGACCTCATACACGCGCCCTGAAGCTAATACTTGAATAGTGGAGCGGTGCTGATTACGCCGATAATCTTATAAAGACCGTCACCGGTGGCGTATCGTCCACAGCAGCCATGGGCAAGGGTGTCACGGAGGACCAGTTCAAGGCCAAATTATGATCTACGGCACTCATGATCATCTTAAATTGATCGTAGTGCACATCCTATCTTCACAGCATTACAAAGTATACAAATACATCAGGATTAACATTTGTATTGTGGTCCGGGACCCTTAAGTCCACGGCTGTAGTTTTATCTTTTTTTTTCCAGTAGAACACAATTACTGGATTATGCATATCGGCAGTTGCCGATCGCTCCATGATATCGAATGCCGCAGCTTCAAGTTCGATGTACCATTGAAAGCCAAACCTACGGGGCACGTCAGAAGAATCAATCATCGTGATGAGTTCTGAAGATCGTGTACAAGTGGCTGCTTCCTTCATCCTTCAATCGCCTCCAGGAGAGATTAATGACGTCTTAAATGGTGCCCAGCATTTAGTACCTTGTCTTCTTCGCGCAACGCTGACTCCTGGTCCATTTGCGAGCAGATGTTCGCGTCATCGTAGATGATGACGCAGGGTTAGAGGAAGGCATCCTTCCTGCCCTTCGGGAATACAATATCGCGCAGTTCACAACAGTCGAAGTGCCAGGCGAACACCATCAAGTCAGTATCTAGCTCAACTTGAACGCGTCGGGATGCCGTTATTCAATGGATCTTGTCCTAGACAATAATTAGCGAATTTGCGCGTGTACCCGACACCGAAGCGGAACGCTACCTAGACCCACGATCTAAAATTTCTTTTGTTTTCAACCACTTGACTCTAGTGAGTCCTCACGTTCAGTCACGAGCGGTGGTCACTGATGGTGTTAGTAGGAAGCCACAGATCCTCAGTCGGAGGAACCTTCGGAAGTTGAGCCTCAGCGGTCAGTGGATTAACTGTCATTCGTTGATGGTCATTGGATTTATCAGAGATCAGTGCTGCGTTGGAATCTGCTGCTTTGTCGTACTTGAACTCACACTACCACGATGGAGTTGTTACTGTGCTAGCCATGTCGACCACCCGATTCGCAATCCAGATAGTCTCCAATAAATACAACCCATCAAACTACTGGTTCGTTTATTATCACACATCATGTTTGTCGAACTAAATCATCTCTGCAGGGCTGGTAGATGGCGCTCGCACTACGAGATAGACTTCGAGAGTAGGACCATACAGGGAAGAGTCCTCGTGGATGTTCACTACTATGAACAGGGCAATGTAAGACTTCGCAGGATACAAATTTATTGGTCTGACGTTTGGTATAGGTCCAACTCAGTACATCGAATGACTCGTCAATATCAATACCAGCTGCTGTGTCATCACTATCTCCTGCGTCATCAGCATCCAAAATATTTGCATTGATCGAGGCTGAAGAGTCGCGATGCCAGGCATCCCTGAATGATGCATATCATGAGATGGGAGAGAAGGCGTTCAAAGGGTTGAGGCGCGCCTTGCCCCTGACGCGACAGAAGATAGACTGGGATAAGGTGAGTTCCTTGTTATGACGGTCATCATCCCGACTGAATTTGTCTAGACTATGGGATACAAATTGGGCGCTGAACTTACTGCTAGCAATCGTGCCTTTGGCGCCCAACCTCGATAGTGGTCATCAGCAATTGACTTACGTCGCTTGGTTTCAAGGGATACCTCTCGGTTTTCACTTATGTAGTTGTATCCTGTAGAAATGAATAACCATTTCACCGAAATGACCCATATACCTAACTTGCAATTCGGCAAACATTTTAGCGCGTATGGTGAGAGTATCACTCGCACATAGATCTCTATGGCGTACTTTGTTTACATGTACAAGTGGTGCGCACGGACGATTGTCGCTTATACTGACATCAAAGGCCCGCATGCTTCGACTACCAACTTGTTTGTAATCTTGGTGTTATGCTAATCAGTAGTATCGGCTTGCCTGAGAGCTCAGCTGGGATGATTCCGACATGTTAGATGTTAAGTAGATGAAAATGACAGGTGGCATATATCATTTTTCCATGCAAGTAAGTGGTATGATACGAGATACTAAGCAATTAACGGCTGCGCACAGGGCAGACATCATAGACATTGTTTGTCAGGATTCCGGTATTGCCTCCCGCTGCCCGATCAAACTTGCGAATACCTCGGATGCAACGCTCATATGTAAAATGTGAGAGATGCCCTCCGTGTAAGGCAATGAAATGAGGGTTAAGAGGGGTTAGGTGATGACTCGTTCAGGGGCACTGCGCGTGATTCCAGAACGTGACAGTTTTGCCGAGAAAGTCCGGGTGTATCCACTACTTGTCGCCAACCATCTTGACTCGTTAACTAACTCGTGGAGTGCTGATCAATACGAGACATTGCGAGGACGAAAACATGCAGGCTCACCTCCATCCGTTCAAAGTATACTTTCAAGTTTATCGAAGGCAGCGTGGACAATGGACATCATAGTAGAGATTTATGCCGTTGGAAGAATCGTCTGAGAGCCTTTTCCATTTTTCCAATAGTATTTACCGACATTCTTGAGTAGTGACGAATGATATCCCACGTTATAGCTGAACCATGTGTCTGCGTAATAATCCAACTTGAGTAGTCAGAGATAATATGCTGACCCGACAGAGAAATCCGTATCCAGGACGACCCGTTTCAGGATGTGCGCGGTATGTAAGGTTGTCAAACCTGATTGTTATCGGCGGGCATGTATTTTTTTCGTTTCGTCCTATATGCCACTGGCAACACGCCGCTGTCTTGCCGATTGACCCATTAGAAATCACTATCCTAGGGCCAAAAACCACCTTTTTTACCATTTCAAATCCACTGTCGCGTTGTCGAAAAATAGCAGTTGTATCCTGATCAAGATGTTGTCAAAAGTCGGCGTGGCTTGGCTGGGGATCGGGTCTAGTGATTGAGCTGTGGCTACAAAGGGGGATATCGTGTTGGTATACATAACAGATTTTAGCTTCGATTGCATGGCCATAGCAGAAACATGAACAAAGTCCTGGCGAGGCCGGCTTGCGGGTCGGATATGCATGTGGAAATAGGCTTAGCGCAGGCGGTATCGCGCTCGGATCTTTCGCCACCCATTTCGGGGTGTTCCTTGAGGCTTAGCATCGTGTCTTGACATGTCCATATCTTGCACGTTTTGTGGAGTTTTGATTCACTTCTTTCCTCGTTGCTGGTTGCTCTATCTTGTCGAGCCCGCATAAGTTGCAGTGCTGAGTGGATATCTGAGCGTTTTGCATGGCCACTTCAAGTCGTGAAGTCACTTGTGTTTCGTGAATGAGCCGTTTGACATCATGTGAGATAGCAAGCGAGTGCTCCGAAAAGTACCGTAAGGCGAGTATTAAATCGCAGGCTTTGTTGCCAGTTAGTGGCTCTTGGGGTGGCTCCGACCAAGTTGGCTCATTGTATTCAACAGTGTGGGGAAAAGAAGTACTTATGTAAGATTGAATTTGGGACCGTTCATAGTTTACTGCATCACAAGGCTCAAGCGCTTATGTCTTGCCACCGTTGTTCACAGTCCACCAGCACACCCGCCAACTTTCTTCTACGGTGCAGGAGCTGCAACAAATACTGGCATCATAGTAAGTGATCAGTCGCCTATAAAGACGGAACATCTAATAAGAAACACACCCATTATTTTGTTTGTCACTAGGATGTCACCCCCCTCCCCTCGAAAGCGATGAACTCCTTAAACTCATCCGCTCCCAAAACGCAGGCGACCGCGAGAATGGCCTCGATAGTTGGAAATGCAAACGTTGTAAGAAGAACCAAGCGGCTCAAATCATTGGCAAAACTGCAGTTCAATCGCTGAAACCGAGACCGGACAACAACCAACAGCCACTGCCCTCCTTTCAGGCGCAAACATCGCTGGGACTTTCACTTCTAAAGGACAAGACGAAAACAGACCCGAAGGTTGTAACTCGCGGCGGTGGGCCAGCGGCACCTAGTATCGAGGCAACTACTCATATACTCCATACCGCCGAACGGACACAACACAACGACCGCGGTAGCCAGCACCAACAACAGCAGGGTAATAGTACAGGTAGTCAGATGAGAAGTTTAGGTACTGAAAAACTACGCTCCAATAATTTTGCGCCCTGACCACCTGTGTTTTCCAGATAGCAACAAACCTCCGACGATTACAGTTAAAAGGCTCCAAGTAAAACGTGTGCTTCAAGTGGAGCACCTTGATGGTCCTAAAGCAGACCGTGACCATCCCAATAAAATGGAGTTCTGTCCAGATCAGCCTGCTGTGCCTCTCAAGTACGCCCGTGCTCCAGATGGAAAGAAGGTCGTCTCGTCCGGGCATCCACCAAGATTGGAGCAGCTTGAAGATGTCAAATACGTGAATCCTTTACACATAAAAAAACCTATAGCACAAAAAGAAGATACGCCCCCCTCTCGTTCTGTTACTTTGTTCTCCGAAAGGGTTTATTCTCCATTTACTTCACTTCCTGTTCAAGACGAGGAACATATTCACCATGATTCGGCGGTGAAGAGTCCTTGTGGCAATGAGCAAGAGGTCGGTATTCATACAGATGCTCCTTCAAGACTCCCCGTTGGCGACATCCAAATGAAGGATGTCAGTGATGATATCTACGAACCTCCTGTCCCACAGTTTAGTGGTTCCACACCCGTTCCATCCAGTTCGAGAACGTCTAGCGAGCAGCAAGGAGGCAGTTCTGTGATGCAAGAAGGTCACCAGACCATCCAACAAGGAGTTGTTCAATCGCATCATCAACTCGAAGGCCAGAGCAGCCTTAAGGTTGGACTTAAGTTTGGAGTGCAAACAGTTCTTTCCTGACGTGATTCAACAGCAAATACCGAAGGCAGAGCCAGAGCCATTGCTAGGCCCTGATTGGTTGAAAGCTCGATACTCGGTTGCCAATGATTCATGGCGCTCTTTTTGCAATCCACAGCGCCAAATGTATGGTGTCAGCAGACGCAAGAAACTTACGACTAAATTTCTTGGTGATCCAGTACAATCGTTGGCGACAACAAATAGAGAACCACTCTGGTTTTTTTTCAGTCGCGATTGGATTCAGCGGACACAAGTCCATTCATGTTTGGAAACCAGATAATTGACACATCTTCAGTGCCAGTAACATGAGTAACTTAAAGCAATTTCATATACGTCGTTCTTGTACACAGTTATACTAATGATCCATAATAATTCACTTGGCTACCGCTGTAATGTCCCGCTGCTGCAAGATATTGTTTACTTCTTCCCATAGCTTGCGATAATACCGACCTTTAGGTAATGTGTCTAAAGGATACTGCCACGCACTGATTCTCCTCAGCCGGGGAAAGATATCAGACAGGGCACATGCGACATCTTGTGGATTGGCCAACCTCGAATCTCCCAAGCTAAGGCGAGTCACTGCCAAATTACGTGTCAGAGCTGTGTCCTGCCGTGAGGACAGGGACGTTATGGGACAGGGTGAGAGGGCATTTAAGACTATCGCAATTTGATAGAGCCTCGGGCACAGAGCGCACAACGATTGGAGACCGCGGACAGTGATCGATAATTTAGGTTCAGAAGCGGACGGATGCCAGCCACGCCTATCATTGAGACAAAAGACCTCAAGTTCTGGCCAGGAGCTTGCCATCACTGTAAGATCCGAGTCACTCAAGGAAAATGACAGGCACACGCCCAGATCAAAAACTCGTAGTTTGGTGAAAGCGAAAAGTGGCTTGAATACATCCACCGTGATGATCTTTGAGTTGGGAAGAACCTGGGAGATTGCGAGTATAGCATTTGAAAGGCTGTCGCGCACTTCAATGGAACGCATTGTGCTGCATTCTGTGTCGCATTGACTGGAATAAAGTGTGCTAAAACACTCTGTTAAGGAAGCAGAAGTCGGTGCTTCAGAGATGTCGAAGACAACTGACTGCAGAGGCCTGCATCCAGGTTCTACAAAGGATGTGATAATTGGCATACTATATGCACGAAGATGTAGATTGCGTAGATTGCAGAACCACGAGCTAGCAGCACAGTCCCTCACTGTCCCGGAACTATGAGGTGCTAAACTTCCGTGGTCGCTCGATACCCACGAAGGGATGCCCAGGCTTAAAGTTGTGAGTGACTTGAGTTGAGATAGGTGCAGAAGATCTGCTTCGCTGATGGTCGATGACTTGCATTCCAAGGTAGTGAGACGAGGTAGCTGACAAATGGTCTGAACGGCAGAGGGACCCTCGTCTTCCGATAAAGATATGACAGAATGCTTGCTTATTGACATGCTGTGAAGGTTGGGGCAGAGTTCGGGCAGTAAGGTTAGGAAGGGAAAGTGGGGAGGTTTGTGGAAAAAGAAATCCAGCTCGAGGGACTCTAGAGTAGGACTTAGGAATAGTCGGATATACACATAACGTGATTGATCAGTGTCAGTCCACGACAGTCGACGGAGGTTGGGAAACAACGAGGTCGTGATGCGCATCATGCTTAATAGCCGCAGTCGTTCTGTAAGGGCGATTTGGGAATGGGGATCTGAACATGCCAGAGGGGGACATGCTAATTTACGGATACGAGACGCAGCTCGTTGGAAGGACGCGCATGGTACTGATGTGCGCGGGTCCTTGAAGGATTGAGTCAGTTATCCGGTGTCTATGATTCAATTATTCGCGCACATTGGATACCATTGGTGTCATATATTGGAGCAAGGGCCTTACGTCCGGCAAGTCTGACCATAAAAAGTCCAATGCCAAAGGTGATAGGAGATGACATGTCCGAGCGAGAGCGTTGAGCTGGCTGCATGATGCGTCTGCTTCTCGCACCGCAGCAAGTATGTTCAGCAGGATTTCGTTAACTAGCAATGCATTATGCATGGTAGATATGGGAGGGAAGGTGCGAGTATGGCTCCTGAGGCGCCGGGCGAGAGCGATAAATATGATAGATGAGATGTCAACCCCGATTGATTGCCTTACGCAAAGATAGGCACTTGTTTGTGGAGGCGATGATTTGTTACCGAGGGTGATAAGACTTGGGTGAAACAAAAAGCTTTTGTACTGAAAGGATTCTATGATTCATGCCATGAGACTGTTCGGCATGGGAAGTCGTGAGAAGTAGAAGGCTGGGATGATGCTTCATTGGCGGAGCTACCGTGGAACTATTGTCTTGCCGTCCAAGACGTGCAGGGACATAAGCCGTGTGGCAAAGCTTGGAATTCAATGTTGCCGAAACCCGGTGCTATCATCCACTACATTTCCCTCATCCGAGGGACGTCCGTGAATGACTCCTTATTAATTATTTCATACAGCCTAAGGCAGAAGATATCGTATGAGTGTTCTCAAATGAATGCGACGAAACCCTGACCTGAAACGGCTGACTTTTAAACACAAGTCTAGAAATGATCATAGCGCTGGCTGCCATCCTTTTGTATTCTCCATTAATGTGAACCAAATATATCGCACTTTGAGAGCAGGAGATCGCGTTATCGCATACTAGTAGACATGGGGATACTTGTGTGACAGCGTTGAGATCATAGCTGCAAGTGGGCCAATGCTCTCTGCAGAAGAAAGTTCCCAGAAGACTCTGTTGGTACGTTTTCGAGTCGGAACTTGGAGATTGTGACTCGAGTGAAGTATGAGGTCGGGAACTGGGCCTGATAGCATTCGACTAGATGAAAATGACTCACTACTATGTTTACCGCCGTAAGAAGTGCAGTGCAGCGCCCTGCCATAGGTGCGGATCATGAGCAATCTCCCCCTGATTCGGGAAGCGCATCAACGGCACAAGTACTAAATGGCAAATGGCGGTGATCCGAAAAGATTTTTTGAAGAATTTCTAGACCTGCATCTGAAGTCTAGGATGCAACCGAGCAGAATTTACATACAGCTGCATGATTTTGCCTTGGAAATAGAGACCGACATCCCAAGCTGCGGCCACTGACTCAGATACGTACCGCCCTGCTGCGAAAGGGTTATACCGCACAAAATGCTGTTGGGACCGAGCGGTGCGTGGCAATCAAAGCGGCTTGTGCTACCGAACTAGGACAGCATTAAAATTCTGATCCCATGAAAATATACGTGATTTAGATGGTGAATTGACAGTTGCTCACATACCAAACAGCATGGTCAAATCTGAGTTTGAGGCTATTGCGGAGGCACCAAGTCACTTACTAAGTTACATGTAAGTTGAGCAAAGCCGAAATGAAGCGAAAACCAGCGCGGCACGGAGGCAATAATATTATGTTGATTTTCGAGTTGTTTCGGGTCCCATAACGTTACGTCGTTAAGTGAGGTTAACATGTAATACTTATACACTAGCGGGGAATCTTATGGTTTCCTTAAAGCAATATACCAATCTAGATCCTAGTACGTCAAGAGCCTCGTGAACAAAGGTTGATAGCGAATTCGCCAGATAATTTGAGGGTACAGTTTATTTTTTTTGAGCGTGCGGGGCTGTCAAGTAAAGTTCCGCGGAGAGTGAAACATGAACAGCCGAATGACTTGCCGACACTCTGCCGTGAAGGAACACAGTTCAGTGCATCGACAACGTTAGCGCCGACGGAGCAGAGAGAATCCACAACAGACCTTGATATCGACTCAGTTTGCCGACACTACCCCAGATGGTTAGTCATGAACAATCACAGTGACTGGCCGAATTTACAGTCCGCTCGGTAGACGCACTACATGTAAGAGTATGCATTGAGAATTAGATAATAGGGATGTAAGTATGCAGCTCACACGGCACAAGGCCCATCAAATTCAATGTCCGACATCGGCAGTGGCGGCAGTGAGTTGCCAACTTGCGGTCACGCAGCAAACACAATCTTCTTAACGAATTTGCTTGGAATATGATAGTAGTATATGTAGAATGTGCTCAGTCAAGTAGCTCAAGTGGTACAAAATTGAGTGCTGTAGACGAAAATCATGAAATGGTGGACAGTCACGAATAGACCATAATTTATTGGGGATAGTAAACTAAACTGCTTACCACTCAACTCTAATAGTTCATTTCTCATCGCTTATCATTTTAAACAGCAAATAAATCGAAGAAATAAACTGGGTTCTAAGTACTAGCATTGAAAGTACTGTACTGACTTATGACCCCTCGCGGCGCCATGCGACCCCCCACTTCTCCTTTGCCTTCATGACATGACGATCGTCGACGAGAATGATCTTATTCGCTTGCTCAACAGTATCCAGGAACTTTCTGACGAGATTACGCAGAACCGCTCTGTATCATTTTCACTCCATGCCTCAGCTGGTGCTATAAAGGTTTTGCCTCCTTTTAGTAAAGTCACAAACCCTCGATTGATATGGAACCTTAGACTCAAGCGGCACATGCACAGACGGGGTTCGTCCTTCGTAGGTGGGAGCATGAATGTTGAGCGGTATCTGTAGATTGGACTGACCATGCCGCAGGTTCAACCTCGACAAGGTTCAAGGTTTGTCCTACTCATTGCTGATCTATTTTACTGGACTGATGAACGCAGACGTGTATGATGGAGAACTAGAGCGCATGAACGCCTCTCTTGCAGCCGAGAATCAGACGCTGCAACACGACAACAAACAACTTGGTGCGCTTATTCGAGAGTACGAACAGACACTTGAAAGCGTAATGAGTGCATTCCGCACAAGAGCTGTACGTGTATATATTCACGTCATGGCAATTCTTTGATAACCGACAAAATATGTCCTCTTTCTTTCCTTGCCTCGATCCGCCGCCCTATGTACATGTGTTACCCGCGGTAATTAATCTGCAGCGTGACGTCCAAGATCACGAACTCGCTCTCATTCGCGAGTACGAATCCAAGCTTATTGCCAGGGAATCGGAAGACCTTCTCCGTGCACTGTCGGCTAGCACTGCTCAATCCGCGGCCCTCGGACGGATATCAAAGACGCTTCGCCATTTCATGCGCGTACTGAATGGCGAGGATGCCGAAGTTGCTGATACTCCTTCGCCTGAGGCAAAGCAAGGCGATGCGGAGGAATTTGATTTCGAAGAAAAGAAGGACTGGTCTCTTGAGAGGGATTGTGAGCTCGCACGGTTGGAACGAGAGAATTCTGTATTGCGGAGAATGCTGAGGATGGAGGTATATGAAGTCGAGGCTGATACTAAATGGAATGTTACAGATTATGCAGTAGACAACTCACGCCTGCTCGGACCACGTCCTGGATCAAGCAAGCATCCTCCTCAGCCTCTGCAACCGCAGAAGAAAACACTAGGTGGTCCGCCAGGCACAGTGGGACCGTACGGAACGTACAAGAAGGGCAAACCAGGCTGAACAGAGCGTGAGGCTTTTTTCTCATTAACTGGATATCTGTTGACTGTCGCTTCTTCAGCCTATCCACTTTCTTCGTTTTATTATTTGTGGACTCTTATACATTCATACTGTGATGCAATGGCAGGATACTCTCAATTCTTCGATATGTCTTCACGCAAGAGCTATATCGAGCCGGATGACGCGAACAGTTCATCGTACGAGCAATGGGGTATTTGAAATTTTGTGCGCAGCTCAGACTTGGCCCGAACATTACTAAATCTCACTCGGTGATATTCGTCAGAACTGGTTTCTCGCTATCATATTTCTGCTGTGCAGCTCCAAAACAGAAGAGATCGAATCGGTTATGCCGTGGTTACCAATAGGCTGGGGCAGTCGTAATCACCTGAGTGCCATTAAATTTATGTGAGCATAGAAGGCCAAATACAAAAATACATTCGTTCATTTGGTAAGACTGATGATACACGACCATGCTGACCAGTCTACATCTTGAGAATATTTTTATTGTGTCATTCTCTGACTTGCAAGAGGAGAGCTTTGTTTTGATAATCAAGTGTCCAAGTGCCTCAACTTTCAAGTGGTTCTATTCAAGTGTATCTGCACTTAAGTTGACACTCAGGAGTATTAAAATATTGATACTACTTGGCTATTGTAGAATGCTGGTGATGCATACTTGTCATTTATCCCCTTATGAACATTTATGACTTCAGTAGTGCAATCCTGCAATTGATGGAGATGTGGCATTTCACTGTTGTTATTTTATCTCATCATCATAAACTTATGAGAGATGGACAATCAAATGTTTTGATTCAACTTAAATCACAATCTTTACATCTCATTCAATTTCAAAAATAAGATACATTAATGTTGCTACAGTCCAGTTCTTGTTTGAACCTGAACTTTTGGAACCAGACTTATGGTCTGGTCATTACTGATGTGCTGCCTGCCCTTGTACCTTGTTGAACACTTGCAACTAATAGGCACAGTTGATCATTTTCAGATAAATTGCAAATATCCACATTGCTCAAGTAGTACAAAAAATTGTGCAAAAGCAACTATACTGATTGGCTCAAGGTAGTACAGCATCATCATGGAAACTCAAATTTTGCTATCAGGTCTTATACTTGCCATATATGAGCACTAATATGTAAAATAAGTCCAATGATGACACACCTGTATGTGTTACGACTGGGATGGGTTGAGCTGTCTTAGTCCGAGTGGACTGAGATTCGGCGAGACAGACGTGGTTCTTCTCTCGAATGAGAGGTCAAAGGTTTCAGGCTAAGGCAAGTATCGGCGACTTCCTTAGAATAATGGTTCTTAGATAGCAAGGTTGGGGACCTTGCTAAAGGACTTGTTCCAGGTAGAACCCAGTAGATTAAAGTGAAGAACTACATGTGGTACGCTATGTGTCTATATAGCGAGAGTTCAAGCGGAGCTTGTAAATGTGTATCAAGATAGAAGGCGGACAGCCCGCTTGGTGGACGATAAGAGATAAGAGATAGTAACCATGGTGCGGACAGCCCGCTTTGATAAGAGATAGCGGCTGAACATAGTGGTGGTTACTGGCACGGAAAGTCAGCTTGGCGATGATATGAGTAAGAGTCTGGAAAGTAATCGGTCGTTCCTCAACAGCTGTGACAAAGGACCATTGTCCGGTAACAAAGGAGAAATGAAGAGAATGAATGTGCCGTAACAGTATGTAGAGTAAGATATAGCATTATAAGGGTAAATGCCATGGCCAACAACTAGCGTGACAAGAGTGATTTGACTGCCTTATCATTTGTATTGAAATTGACAACACTCCAAAGATGTGATACTATTGTAGCTGCTGACCCAAAAAAATGAATCACTGTGCGATTGTGAAATGTCTATTATTCTGATCATTGTATGTCTTGCCATTGGTGATAGGGAAACATCATAATGTGTTCATTGCTCTGACTTATTGAGGCAATATTCCCATCTATACATATTGTAAGGACAGAGCATTTGATCCCATTCTAGGTCATCGTGATGGGAACACATGTCGAATTTGAATTGACTGGATGTAAGTCTGGACTATGTTTACACATGACTACTTCTCTCCAATCTGTCTCATCCTAATACATGATTCAAACTGTATTATACATGAGCAATTCTCACATGCAATCCATCATTTGAGAGTTCATTGGCTTGATGTTTCCATATGGTACCAGTGATCCAGCAGAGCCACATTGGTGTCTGTCTGAAGGAATATGCCTTTCATGAGTATTGGACCTATTCTTTCTTTGATATATTGTTCTATAACATCAGACATATTTTGGGCGATCCGAGAGAATCATTGGCAGACTGGCAGGACAATTATGATATATTTTACAGTTTTTACATCATTGGGGCACGATCTATACAGTTCGCTCAACTAGATACATATGAATATTTAATGATGTTTGGCGGACATGTTAGCTACTGAATAGTGGGCTGCGACTTGGGGGGACTAAGTGGACACACTGCAAGGGCCAAAGACCCTGCTGTGAAGAGTAAGCGATGACTAGATAATGACAAGCTTGCTAGAAGTGTGCTCACCAGTTCCACCAAACAAGAAGAGCATCGACTGAAGTTTTAGCTGTTGGCATTGGTGGACGCTCGAAATAGTCGACCATATAGGCATAAAATTGATTGTGGTCAAAATCATCATTGACGATTCACCAGGAGCCACAGCTCGATAAAGCAAATTGTAACTAGTGAGCTACTTCAGGCATCCAGCATTTCAAGGAAAGAAGTGAAATGAACCTGTACTGCAGAATGCGCAATAGCTCTTGGCTGTACTGATCGCATTCCTAACAACATAGCAACATCAGAATGAGTGCGACATTTGCCTTGGGTCCTTGATTGCTTATACAATGGTTCTGGGGTAGATTCTTCATTGGGTTGTGTCTCTGCAGCAGAACTAGGGGAAGTGTCATATCCCACGTTCCGGACCTGGACCTATCACACACATCATTTTCAGATTTCTGGATCCAGCCGACTTCTATCGTCCGGATCCGACCCGCGTCTATCTTCCGTGCCTTATCCCTTTGTACGTTCCTTCTCCAGTTAAACTATACTCATTTCACCTGAGTGTCACCATTTAATTTACTAATTAGTAATTACATCAGGTACCTATTCCTGTTACTAGTTAGTAATGTTTATTTACCACCCGCCATACCAGCGATAATATCAGCACATCGGCAGTGACTTGGGATTTTTGAGCGCAACATCCCCTGCTATATTGGGTACTACCAGCTGGGTAATTCTGCCACCTTACGAACAACGTTACAAACACTCCGCCACACCTTCCCGTCATTCCCACGGTTGATTCCCTCTTGAGCTCATCATCTCCAATGGTGAGCTCGCTATTTCCTTCATTCTGTGGCCAATTTTTCACTTATTTTTGGCAGACCTTTCTACTTATTAATGCATACTCTCCCCCAGAGCATAAATCCCGTCATCAGGCCTTCCTTGGAGTCATTCCTCGGCCTTGTAGTCTCCTCATTGGGTCTGGTGCGATCTCCGTCACTGAAGGTGAGTACAAGGTGCTCATTGTTGACTGCCGTCTCCGCTAACTGCCATACAAAAGCAATAGATTATACAATACGATCTTGTCAGTGCGTTTGGAGTCGTGCATTTGGAGTCGTGCATTTGGAGTCGTGCATTTGGAGTCGTTTGTTCAGGGTGGTGCGTTCAGGGTGCGTTCAGTGTCGTGCGTTCAGGGTAGTGCATTCAGAGTTGTGCGTCTGATGAGGAGTCCAATGCCCGTGATCTTCATCACTGAAGGTGAGTACACGCTGCCCATTATCTGCTGTCTTTGCTGATCATTTCATTACTATCAAGTGGGTGAACTTCCACACATTCTACTGCTCGTAGGATGGCTCTAGTGTGATCTCCATCACTTCAGGTGGGTACAAGGTGCCTATTGTCAACTGCCAACCTCGCTAATTGCCACACAAAAGGGAGAAACAGACAAGATGATACGATCTTGTGAGTGCATTCAGAGTCATGCGTCTGGTGAGGATTTTAATGCTGATTTTGTTGCGAAAGTCTTACTACAACACGCCGATCACAGCAAATGCCTGCCTCAATATATCAAAAACAAAGTATGTACACCGTTATTCGCCCCCACATTGCCCACACACTACGCCTCCCCGTTCTCACTGTCGATGTCAGTGTGCTGTGTGTCTTCATCGTCTATGACCTCCTTACTTTTTATGCCTTGGCTTTTTGCACTGGTGGCCTTGGTGCGGCGCTTTCGGGGTTTATACACCTTCTCACTGCGAGCCTGGCACTTGATATTTTTCTTCACACATTCAGTGAGTTCAGTATCAGTCAGTTTGACCCACTCGCAACTGCCATCCATTAGGCTATCGAGGAGTCGAACAAGATCCTCCTGGCGTCCAACCTTGCCAGGATTCACCACAGTTCCAAGTGGAAAAATATCAAGGGCGATGCTGTAAGTTTCCACGATCTTCCGTTCATAGTTTTCATAATTCATTATAACCCTTTTCTCTGGCGCAGGATTCAGTGTTGTGGTGATGATGTCTAATAACTCATGGTCAGTACTAGCTTGCAAAATATGATTACAGAACTGACCAAGTCCATCCTGAATATTTCGGCGGCACATACTCACAAGTTTTGTCATTGTGAGCCGTTTGCTCACAGTGCCAGCACTGTCTATATTTAACATCGGTATGTCATCATTTGTTTAATGGCTTTGTAATATTTGCTTACCGAAATCGCCGACAACCCAGGACTCCAGTTTAAGCGCAAAGCGTTTTGGCTCCATGCCAAGGATGTCCTTAATAAATGATGCGACTTTGGAGGTGTAGAAGAGCTTTGGTTCATGGTACTGTTCAATGTCACCTCGGACAGCAAGATACATCCCTTCAAAACCTGTTCGTGCTTGTATAGCAGTCCACTTCCACATTGTAAATTAGAGGTGTTGTGGGAGCCCTGAATGTATACTTACTTCGTTTTGCATGATATTGAAAGTTGCATTGATATCCTTCTGCAGCGCCTTTGGGTTCGCACGAACAATCTTGACACGGGACTGACGAAGGTTCATAACACTTTTTCGAAAGTCCTCCTTTTGCCCTATTGTCAAATGGTAATATTCTGATGACAAGTCTGCTTGGTGAGCCTTTATAAAAGCTGGTAATTTCATTCATTCTCCTACACCACAGTCTATTTTTTTTAATTTTTATGATCGTGCAAAAAGCAATATGATGGACCTTCGTTATAATCATTTAGGTGTTTGCTGACAAATGCGTTCCAAGGATTTGCACGTTGGCGGTTGAGGAATGTCCTACTAGTGTGCAGCTGCCGTCGAGTCCACTTCAAGCTTCTGTACGACAGTAAGTACATATTTTTTCTTGTTTGATGCAAGCTTACCGTCCATGGTCTTGAGCAATAGCCCGAGCCTCTTCTTGGAATGCGTCGTGTGCAGTAGCAATTGCATTTGTTAATTTTGTAAATTTTTCACGACGCGTGGCCTTCTGCACTGTCGTCAATTTGGCGCAGACACGTTTATGCTTTGAAGAGGCAACAACCATCTGACAATGTTCAGGGAGATATGAGGTATTGGTGGTAAGTGGAGGGGAACTTATAGGCTCTTTTTCGGAGCAGAGCAGAGGTGATTTTTACAAAGTTTACATTTTAATATCACAAGGAACTAGATTCGTAATTATATCAATGTACAGCCTATATGCCGTCTCTAAATAAAGTTTGTTACTACCTCTGCCTAGCATTGTTGGCTTGACCTTGACCCAGCCTCACTACAATACCCTGGTAAGATTGTAAGAACGGAGTCAACAGCTATAGATTGAAGCTCACATTTTGCATGAACACAACAGGTCCATTTGTAGCAAATTCATATGGTGGTGGTGGAGGTCTGCCATCACTGGCACCAATAGAAGCTGAAGGACAGAACCAAGTAAGATCTTCATCATGTTCATGTGACACAGCTGAAATTGAAAATTCCATGGTACGATCAACACCAGGAAATTGACGTTGCTCAGCAACCGCTGGGCTTCGATTAAACGTTCTATTGGCACCTTGTAGTGCACACTCTACATACTGCTCAATAAAAATTAGTTTAACATTCATTTGAATTTTATTTTCGAACATACCTGAGTATGAGCAGCATGAGGCAGAACAATTTGCCTCCGAGTCGTCACTGAAGCCGGCATTGCAGTGGAAATGTCAGAGGACGAGAAATCTGATACATACATCGAGTCGGAGTCGTCAGAAGGGCGCTGGGAGCGGGCAGACCGAGAGATACTGGACACTGTGCTACTCGACGTAGATGTGGGAGTTGGCTGAATCCGCATCCTCCACATTTCACCATTGTTAGGCTGTTGGGTCAGTGCTGGCGAAACCTGTGTGTGACGAGTTTGTCTTGTAGGTGGCCAAACACCCAACATCATATTACTAGTTGATTGCTGGTCTTGCTGATGTGCAAGCAACCATGTTTCGAAGTCGGGGCGCTGGAGGACATCTTCCAAGGTACTAGTCTGTGGGGTAGAATTTGTAGAGACGGCAGGTCGATGATTGCAATGGGATGTCGATGTAGTGCCAGGAGGATTTCCATGGCAACTCCTTGTTGTAGTAGCGCCGCACCGAGTAGTTGTTGAGGGAGGATTTCCATGACGACCCCTTACAGAGTGACTCACAGCAGCGCTGTGTGAAACAGCGACTGAGGGTGGAGGTGGAAAGGGAAGAGAAGCGTGGCTTCCAAGCTGGAAGATATTCCTGTTATCTGAATAGAAAAGAGTCATTAAATAAGTAGAGCAATAATATAAGCACTCACCAGCTGAATCTTGAGTGTGACATGCCGCAGGAACAACTAGTTTAGCCCAGCCTCGAGTAAAGGCCTTCTTGCGAACATGATCTGCAAGTCCCAAGGCAAATATTTCTTCAAGAAGTTCGATCGTGTGGGACATGGTAGCGTCTTTGAGTTTGCGACGTGGATCTTGCAAGTAGGGTGATTTTTCAGTGGTGATGATAATTGCTGGCTCGCTGATTCCATCTCCCAGTATTATTCACTGAGTAGTGGGCTCGGATGTGCACGAGGTACTGCTACTAACACTTTTCTGAAACACAAATTGTGCTTCGAGAGTGAGAGAGATGATTGTCTGAATGTTGAAAGTTGGTGAACAGCGAAATTTAGATGAGAATGTGTTGGACTCACAACATTCTTGATGTTTGTGGCTAGATCCAACCACTGCATACTATTGATGGAGGCGGTAGACATTGAACAGACAGAAGATGAGCAGTAAGTTTTTTCGTGAAAGAGTGAGATAGTGAGGGGAGCGAGAAACTTAACTTGTTGAGACAATAGCGCGGTGCCATACACACATTTAATAATGGCCATGCATCATAGTAACAGCACTAGCCTGAGGTAAAACACTTGATGAAACTGCTAAATGACAAGTTATCTTCCAAAAATATACACGGATGGGCGTGAGGGGAAAGAAACGTGGTGAGTTTGGAAGAGTGACATACATGGCAGCAATATTGAGGATCATAGAGGTAGGTGAACGAGTACAGTGACAAAGCAGGTAAAAGAAAGGAACAGAGAGTACAAGGAAGGAGAGTACATGGTACAATGAAACAGATTCACTGGTAAACCCTTATCCCAAGGCATGAACAGAGCTAATGAGACTTGCGTGTAGAGTCGATTACAGTAGAAAAAGAGCTAACGAGACTCACATGTAGAGTTGATTACAGTAGAAAAAGCACCAATACACAATGGAGATGAATTGCATGAAATTGGAATGACTCTATGAGTCTAAGCTGTGTGAGTGCCTTGAGCGAGCGTGCTGGAGTGTAGATAGTAGGTAAACAAATGTGTACAGTCGACAATGAGTAATATATCAACATTACCGAGATACTCACATCTCTCATATGTACAAGTTGAGAATATAATGGAGAATAGACGAGAGATGCCACTGAGGCTGGCAATATTCGAGTGTCAAGTATCATCCTCAGTAGTATCTCTCATCTATTCTCGACCTTGGTGGAATCTCTCGTTTATACAATATATGAGAGATGCCACTGAGGCCGATAATAGCTGCATCTCTCATACATTCTCAGCCTCAGTGGCATCTCTCGTTTATAGAATAAACAAGAGATGCCACTGATCTCAGACCATCTCTTGTCTATTCTCTGTAGCATCTCTCGTTTATATAATAAACCAGAGATGCCACTGAGGCCGATAATACTATCTCTCATCCATTCTCAGCCTCAGTGGCATCTCTCATTTGTAGAATAGACAAGAGATGTCACTGAGACAGATAGTAAGTCTACACTCCGGCACACTCGCTCAAGGCACTCATGCAGCTTAGACTCATAGAGTCATATCAATTTCACGCAATTCATCTCCATTGTGTATCAGTGCTTTTTCTACTGTAATCGACTCCACACATGAGTCTCGTTAGCTCTGTTCATGCCTTGGGATAAGGGTTCACCAGTGAATCCATTTCATTGTACCATGTACTCTCCTTCCTTGTGCTCTCCATTTCCTTACGTTCCTTTCTTTTACCCGCTTCATTGTACTTGTTCACCTACATCTATAGAATGATAATATTAATACTATGATATACAAGACTGTGAATGATCCGCTTCATCACACAAGGTATCATCTTCATCGACTTCAATCAAGTCAGCGCCCCTCAGCTCCTCAAGTACTGCAGATTGATCCTTGTCCACCCCATTCCCTTGTCCGACACTATTTCCACAATACCCATGTAGATTGTAGATTGCTTGAAGCCGAATATGATGAAGATTATTTATGTGCCTATGCTCCTCATACCGCATTCGGATCTCGCTGGCAAGAACAGTGTTTGTCGTTGTCAGTGCAGTTGAGATTTCGAGCAAATGGGCGTCTTCAGTGTCCACCCATGTCTGAAGACGGCTGATCTCAATATTAAGCCTATGAATTCCTTCGCGTGCCCGAACAATCCTAAAGTATTTCCCTGCAACTTCTCTGTTAGCCTTCGACGCCCAAGGTTTGCTGAGGATCTTGCAATGTGAGTGTTTGAGCATTTCAAATTCTCCTAGCCATGCATATGAAGCGACTTCGCTAAACTTCAACATATCACGGAGAGGGGTTTGAAGAGGGGCAAGGTGGTTGTATCATTCAAGTGCATTTCAAATTGCAGTTGAACGACAGGTAATGGCATTTGATATCTGTTGCTGCATTTTGTATCCTAGGATAGCTATCAGCACTGCAAAGTTATCTGATAGTGCATGTACCTGTACCAGCGAGGTTGGCTTTTGCAAGCTCAAACAGCCGCTGCACGACTAGTCCTTCTAACTGTTCAACTGCCCGAATAAACTGCTGATTTGTTAGATATGCTGATGCTTGTTTGTATTCCGTGTCGTTTACAGTCCACCATGTTTCAATACTCAACTGTCGCTCTAGATCAGATACAACATTCATTGCAAGTAGGAGCTTATCGTGCGCTGCTTGACATTCAGCTTCCCGTGCCTTTGTCATGACTTGAGCTTCTTTCCGAAGACCAGAGTGTCATGTGAAATCTGTAGGAATGTATGATAGAAACTGGACCGAAGTGACGCCTCCGTACACAGCCCTGAAACCTTATCAGCTGAAAGAAATCTTATATTATGGAACGCATACTCGGCCTTAGTAAGTGACTGGAGAGCTTCCACATACACAATCTTTTGGGGATCATACTCCTGTTCAATTGAGAGGTGTTGAAGATACTCTAACTCTTCAATATTCCAATGCTCGAAGTCAGTGTCCGTAATCTTCAATTGTGTTTTGAGTTCTTCAATGACGGGCGTCAAGTTATTGATGATATCGAGTGCTTGCTTGTAATTTTGATACATAAATTGGCCTAGAACAGAAAATTAATGTGCTGAAGTTGAATATTGAGAACGTGCAATAATTACTCAGTTCCTGGTACCGATCTTGATCCCATTGGTCGAAGTGTAAATCAATGAATTGAAGCCAATGAAAGTACAACACATGCCGTATCACTGGGGCCACAGCATTTGATCCGGAGAATACTCGTTCACAAGTTTCAAGGTCCTCTATCCCAAGACCTTGTTGGTAAAGCATGTGGAATTGGAGTTGACAGTGGCGATTGTGTGCATGACCATGGAAGGAGTTGACGACAAAGCGGTGATTGTGATTCTTGACCTTCATTGCTATTGAGCTGGCAGCCGCAGTTTTGGTGAATGATCATCCAATGTTGTAACCCTTGACTCCATCAGAACCATAAACATCTATCAGCTTATTCGCTGTTGCTAGGGCATATTTCGCACTTCAAAATTCAGACAGAGTAATAATCAAATGACAGTGCACGTACAGTTCACCGCTCTGTCTCATCTCAACAACAGTCTGAATAATACCATGGCAGCATGCACTAACAAAGACGCCGGTTTGATCAAACACATTGATCGTCTTTTCAGTGACAGCATTCGCAGCTTTCCAGTTTTCAGTGCACAATGAGTCATGTGAAGCTTCCGAATTGTTTGTCTGCCTGCTTTCGGGAGGAAGATGTGTGCCTGGGCGAAGTCGGACATCATCTTTGAATAACTTGATGTTGGCCGGATGTATGAAGTACAAAGATTTGAAGAGTCGTTCATCAGCATGACCAGAGCCATCAATGCATTTCAGTGAGTTGTTACCATCGAAGGAATTGAGGCGAGCAGGATAAAGCAGCGGTTCATCAGGTTGCTACTCTTCAAATTAATTGTGTGGTAACTAAAAATTATGAACACCTAACCTTGTAGTTACACGGTGGGCACGCATGCAACATGCGCCAATTCACAGAGTCATGTTGAAGAGCCTCATCCACAAGGCCTTTGACGGAACGTAAAATGCCAAGATACACATCAAATGCAATGGCAAATTGGTCTCGAAGCGATTGAAAATATGTCTGCCACCGTAATGTGAAAACAATGATAAGGAAAGATAGAACATGAATTACGTTGTGGAGGGCACACAAAACCTTCACCATTGCTTGGACACTGAACGAAGGTTTTTGATGGCGGATTTGATGATACAACTTGAGGCAGTGCAATGAAACAGTGACCGTGGGTTGAAGTGGTGAACAGCCGAAGAAGCCCAGCTTCAAGAGTGAGACGTTGGCCAGTTCTTCATGGGCCTGAATAATGGGCTTGACGTGCATGTAACCTCAACTTAAAGTTAGCAGTGCTCTCGAAATCACAACTTGTAAAGCTTACATGTGATATCAACGGTTGAAACATGAAACTTGGAGGCGCGTGGCTGGTCAGCATGCACCTCATCAGGCTTATCATGCTTCCACTGTAAATAAGCATCCGTGAGGTAAGACATTTGCGAATACCATGCTGCATGCATTTGGTGGTTGCGTTGAAGTCGACTCCCAGGTGCACGCCGGTGACGATGACTGCCTCGTATGCTGAGATGTTGAATGTGAGATGTCTTGTATGCTGAGATGTTGAATGCGCAAGTCAGTAACGATACTGTAGTTAAGGACACACACACCATGCTATGACATGTGCTCTAGCAGCAGTGACTCCTTGCCCATCATGACTGGCCATAGGCGTGTCTTCATCCCCATCGTCCTCTTCATCAGAACTAGTCTCGGGAGATTCGTCGACTTCCATCTGGCCAATGCTTGCATCTCCATAGTCAAATGATACAGCTAGGTCTCTTGCATGGTTGGAGGGTCGTGCATGGATCGCAGCTTCAGCAAGAACTTGTCGAGCTTTCATATTGATTTCTGTTGATAGTAAGATGGTCTGTAGGACAGGCGTTGAACAGACATGAAATACACACCTTCATTAAGGTCACGGTTTTCTCGTGCTAACCTGATGTGGTCTTCACGAATCTTGGTGAGATTGGCTCTGATCATTTTGCTTGTCCCCAAATCCAGGATTACTGTCTCTTGCACGGAACCAAATGTTGAGTGGAATTTGTGTTTGGGCCTCATAGCATGTAGAGCGAAGTGGATGGTTGAAGCTAACAAACGAATGTGTGGGAGTTCACCCATTTAATAATGGTGGGACAATTAGCAAAGGCAACATATAATGAGCAGCGTGTACTCACCTTCATGATGAAGATTGCAGGCATTACACTCCTCATCAGACGCACGACTCTGAACATGCTGATGAGATCGTATTGTCTTGTCTGTTTCTCCCTTTTGTGTGGCAATTAGAGACATCGGCAGTTAACAATAAGCACCTTGTACCCACCTGAAGTGACAGAGATCACACTAGAGCCATCCTATGAGCAGTAGAACGTGTGGGAGTTCACCCACTTGATAGTAAGGAAATGATCAGCAAAGACAGCAGATAATGGGCAGCGTGTACTCACCTTCAGTGATGAAGATCACGGGCATTGGACTCCTCATCAGACGCACAACTCTGAATGCACTACCCTGAATGCACAACACTGAATGCACCACCCTGAACGAACGACCCGAACACATGACTCCGAATGCATGACTCCGAATGCACGATTCTGAACGCACTGACAAGATCGTATTGTATCATCTATTGCTTTTGTGTGGCGGTTAGCGGAGACGGCAGTCAACAATAAGCACCTTGTACTCACCTTCAGTGACAGAGATCGCACCAGACCCAACGAGGAGACTACAAGGCTGAGGAATGACTCCAAGGAAGGCCTGATGATGGGATTTATGCTCTGGGGGAGAGTATGCATTAATAAGTAGAAAGGTCTGCCAAAAATAAGTGAAAAATTGGCCACAGAATGAAGGAAATAGCGAGCTCACCATTGGAGACGATGAGCTCGAGAGGGAATCAACCATGGGAATGACAGGGAAGGTGTGGGGGAATGTTTGTAATGTTTTGGTATCAGTTAGTAAGGCGGCAGGATTACCCGGCTGGTAGTACCCAATATAGCAGGGGATGTTGTGCTTGAAAATCTTGCAAAGTCACTGCCGATATGCTGATATTATCGCTGGTATAATGGGTGATAAATAAACATTACTAATTAGTAACAGGAATAGGTACCTGATGTAATTACTAATTAGTAAATTAAATGGTGACACTCAGGTGACTCATTTTACGTACCTCATTTCATTTCCGCCTTTATTTTCCTATGTTCTCATTTCCGTCTTCATTTACTATTTTCCGATAGACTAGTGTTTGACTTTTCTATACACTCCGTCCACAGCCTCGCATAGCTTCAGGCTGCACTGACTGATTCTCTGTTACATCCTCAGTAGTATATAAACCCTGTAGAATCTTTGTACTTCCTTAGTTCGAATATTATCTTAGACTCTGCTCATTCCCTCCTCTGTCCGACTTGAGTTCTTCTCTCGTCATCCTCCGCTAGTCTTAGGATTGACTCCTATAGACTTGTCACCTCTGCCTCTACCTCTGGTAGTCCTCCGCTGTTTCCTTTCTAGTTCGGACATCGTCCAGATTGTCTGCCAGAATTCCTGCGCATCGGACATCATTTGACAGCCTTCAGAAGTTAGGGGCACATACTCAGGTAAGGGGCGCAGCACATGAGCTGAAGCCAAGCCCTTCAGATTTGACTCTTGAGCACGTTCTTAACAGGATGTAAAGATATGTTTGAAAGCCTTAAATGCCAAAACATAAGTCAAATAGTCCAAAGGCTGACAAGTGGATAGGACTCACTCTGACAAGAAAATCACCTTTAAAAAGGCCTTTTGTTGGATCCTCCTGGTCATACTTATTGTCTTTATACAAAAATGATGGCCAGGAGTGAGCTGTGACTTGGAAGTTGGGTTTATAATTGTGTATCCCTTCCTGGGTGCTATGGTTGACATCAGTTTCACAGATTAAGCCAATGACATAGCGAAGATCCTATGCCATATCGGCCTAGTCAAAATTTACAGGACAAAGAAGCTTCGCAGTTGCATTATTATAGAAGCTGTATCCAGTCTTATCTTGTGAGTGGATTGGTGGGTTGGGGGCAAAAGAACTCTTGTTCAGCCATGAAGCCACTGCTAGCTTCATCAAAGCAGCATCATCACCCCTTGCCGAATCAGCTCCCTGGTTGAGCTGGGTAGAATTGTCAGAAACCAAATTGATCAGTGCATTATGTGGCTTACCTTCTGATAAATGATGTTGAGTTGATGTCCGTCACTTTGAGATGAGATTAGGCTGCGGATGCATGGGACCCAGCGAAGCAGTTGCTGAAATGCCTGAAAAGTTTTTTCCTCCCTAGATTGCTGCAATCAAGTCATTTTCAAGATATTCAACTCGAAGAAAGAAGCCACACTCTTCCAAGTATTGTGGGTCATCATCCTCATCATATAAGGAAGTTATCCGATTGTTACGCACTCAAATAGGTCTGTTATGCGGAGTCCTAAGAGGGGCGTCGTCCACTAATGTTCGTGATGTAACCAGAAGGATCTGGTAAAGCGAGTGAAACTGGTGACGTTGAGTCAGCAGCAATCACAGACGCGCGTGTCACATGACTACTAAGACAGATGTCTTCGAAGTCACCAGGCTCAAAGTAAGGACAGTTCTTGTCCAAACAATGAGTGTCGATTGAGGTAGACTTAAGCGTGAAGAGCACTTAAGAAAAGATACTAGAGACTGAAGCTGAGAGGCTTCAGAGAGAAGTATGTTCCAGGGAAGATTGAGTAGATTCAAGTTAGAAAATCTAGTACATGGTGACTGACTACTTATACTAAGTGGGAAGGGTTGAGGGCTGGGTTACTGTACTGTAGGTAAGGATAAAGGGGGAATGGAAATGGTATAGGTATGCTGGCAACACAGCTGGATTAGTGGTGGATGGTCAAATGTGGAATGAGACCGAGAAACGTTGGAACAATCCAACGGTAAAGATACAACACGCATGAAGCACAGTCAGAATGGCACCGAAAAGGAAAGCCACATTGGTGGCATGAGTCAGGTCGAGTCAGAAATGAGGGACCACATTGGTGGTCGAGTCAGGAAGGGGGAACGTGCGTGCATGTGCATAAAGGAGGACAGTATGAGGGATGGGAATGGTCCCGAGGATCCGGTCAATGGATATTCGGTAGAGGAGGATGAGCCAGTAGATGATGAGGGCGAGGATGAAGGGAAAATGATAGGGGGGCACATGACTGATGTTACTTATAACACCAATTGTACTCTCCAATGAAGACCTCAATTTGGTCAGTCAAGCAGACAAGGCGTTGAATGGCTCGCCCAGCCATGAGGTATGGATCACCACAGCTATACACAAGCTATCAGATACATATCACCATCACCTGTGCATACTAATCACCTTTTTGGCTACTTTCTCCTCTGAGCTCAGTGTTTTGCTCCTCTAAAGCTGCTATGCATTGTTTTAGCGCATAACTGTCGCCAGGTGCATCACTGGTAACTTGATCGTGAGACTGAGACATGGGCGTTGGATAAAATGAGGAATTATGATGTGTAGCTTGAGCTCCTGAAAATTGAATTTTAATATAATAGTTTTCAGAGTGGAGTATTGTGCTCACCACCAACTGATTGCTGATCACAAGCATTGAATTGCAATACAAAAAGCCCAACTAGGCCATTGAATGATCTTGGAGTGTTTGGAGTGCTAGAATGGAACATATCTGCTCGCTACCAGAACCTTGGTAGGGTGGAAGTGAAGAAACATAACAGTAATGAGTCATGACACCATCGAATAGAAATTCTGATGTGGTGATGTCAGTCAGTGCCAGCAATGGAAATTCTGCAGTGGTCAGCACTTTCAACTAGTCAAAAGGAGATACTGACAGTTACTCACTGGTGGTGCTGTCATGATCCAACTTTGGAAAGAATTCAGAATTAAACTGACTTAGTTCAACTGCACTGCGACTCAGAACTGGCACATACAATGACATCACATTGAGATCACCATGACGGTGATCCACTTGGAGAGCCACTCAGGCCATCCGAGTCATTGCTACACATTATGCTGGTGGAATCGTTTTAAAGCTTCAAGTTTGGCACTGAAACATCCATTCGTGAACTATCCTGCTAAGCCATGTTGTGCTTGCCACATGAGATTGAAATAATGATATTTCGACTTGCAGCAGGCACTCACCCTACACATCATTTGCCCTCATATCTACTAGTTGCTGGAAGAGTTCACAATTGGTAAGTACTGTAGCTGGAATCCTAAAGTTAACTTGGACTCTTACCTAGAGTATGCATAGGGTCGAAGAATTGATGTACCACACTGTGATCCTTACCAGTGAATTCCAAGCGTGTGGCTTCATTGACTCCCACCCTCTTGCTTCTGCAAAAGTTAAATCACTTTGTCTTGGTGGTACTTTGCAGCTTACAACAGCGGCCCATATTATGGAGCTGTGCATGGGCATTGACAACCTTGCCCTTTGGGTTCTACCTGAAGGGGATGTGCCCGATGTCCCAGCTTGCCTCTTGATTGCCTTAGACAGGCTTCCCCTGTCATGACTATCTGTTCATTTGTCAGCCATCTTCTGCAGAACGGCAGCGCCATATTTGCCATCTATCCTGTTGTTTGGAAAAGTCACTCACCTTGAATTACTTGAAGGTTGGATACTCTGGGGCTTTCCTACTGGCATACATCATCTGACTTAACTTACACATCTGTCTCTTTGAGTGGTGGCCCACCAGACAGCACCAGCATTACTCAAGATGATTCTCACAGATTGTGTGAGCCTGAAGGTTTTGGTTTTGTGTGTAATAGATGGAGTTGATGATATAGAGGCATGGTTGAAGGTTGAAGGACTTGATGATCCTTGTATCATGGTAACTGTGATGGACCCTCATAACATCTGGGACTGCTTAACAAGTGATGACTTGGAGATGAATACATGGCATTACAGAGATGAGATTATAAAGTCTTGTCAAAACAGTACTAGTACATTGTAATGATCATTGATTTGTTAAGAGGAAACAATTAAACCCAATGCCGCCTAGGCCTGAGTGAGTCCAAGTTCAACAGCGCTTGAGTCAGCCTTTGAAGGCGAGGCTCATGCATCATGTGACATTGAAACTTTAGGAAGTTGCTGTTCATTCCGAGTCAGCACACTGGCAGATTTTTAGTATGTCCTTTGGTGAATTTCTTCGACTCACAAACAACAATTTGGCCATATCTGATCTACTTCAATAATGAGCTCTGTCAAATAGCACTATCCTGTGATTGGTCGCAAGGACACTAGAGGCGTATTTGATTGCTTGCCTATTGAGACATCGGAGAAGGACCACCCTTACCAATTTGCATTGTTCATCCTTGCCTTTGCCACAATTCAGCAGCATCCTGATGCTCCCAAAGTCATGGAAGAGCCTGCATGCATCTTCATGGAAATTGCATCAATTCACGGAAGGCTCTTCATTGAATGGGCAGGCGACTGCAACTTCAAGGACACCTCATCTGACTATAGTGCCGCTGACAAGAAAGATACTAATCTCATTTCCACCAGATTCAGAGGTATTTGGTCATTTTCATTGTAGTTTTCCACAGCCTGATAATGCAGCTCCATTGTTTTTCCTACTTCAAGTTGGCACCGCCCATGTAGATTTTTCAACTTGAAATACACGTTCTTGAAGTCACCTTAGACCCTTGCAGACCATTGTGGGGAAGAATGTCTGAAACTGGTCATGAGCCCCTGATTCACAGATAAATGCCTCAGATATTTTGGTATCATGCTACTCTTAGACAAGAATCAAGATGTCCTGACTCTCATTACCAACTCATTGAAGAAGTATGTGTCATATGTTATGATCCACTATTTCTGAAGTGACTGTTGCAGTGATATGAACCACTCAAATATGTATGTTGTTGGTTTTGGACTCTGCACATTCACAAACATAGTTTTGGAGAAAATGTTGTGAGATTTGGCAAATGAGATAGAGAAGCTTTTGGGCTCAAGTAACACTTAAAAGGTGCGCGCACTCCATATTTATATCGTGTTTCATGTCTTAAGACTGGAATGTACTTCAGGTTTCCCTGTGTGCTCTTTGCGTCATCACACTCAGACTTACATCATTCATAGTACATCCAGTTGGTAATACAATCTTGGGTAGACCAATCTTCGTCACCAAGGCCACAACCTGATCTGATCACTCAGTGCATGAGGCTTCATATAAGGTGACCTTCCTTACCTTATTAGATCTTTCTGGACTGGAGCACAGCCATGGTGTCAATGACATAAACATAAAAATCCATGATCATAATGGGAGACAGGTTGAAAAAACCTGCAAGGCTTTCTGGTGACACGATGCACATGTCATCAAGCATCCTCACTCCCATCTTTCTCAACGGGTGTAGGAATATCTCTGACCATCTATGCACAGGCTCTTTGTTCTCGAGCTTTGTCATAAAAGCTTCCAAGGTGGGATATGAAACTGATAGGTCAGTTTTGATCTCCACATTGATGAGTATGCTGGAAGTGGCACTGAGTGATAATGGCTCCATGAGCGAGATGTATGTATGGACATTCATTCTGAGTCTCATCTGCTTCATTTGAGTCTCACCTGCTTTGTGGTGTTGATGTTCCCGACATGGGTCATGATGGAAGAAGAATAGTGAATCTGAGTTGACTCCACCTGCCATGATGAGAGTTCAGCGAGGCCTGACTGACGTCACCTGGACATTCAAGTTAACTCGCCCCCCACAGTCCAAATGTGTTTGAGTCATGACTGATCACTGATATTTATTTGCTTCTGTGCTACCAAGGTTCTGGTAGCAAGCAGATATGTGTCATTCTAGTGCTCTAAACACTCCAAGATCAATAGAGTTTGTGATTGGTGAGATCTCCATGGTGAGTGCAATACTTCACTCTGGAATCTATTATGTTAAAATTCAACCTTCAAAAGGTCAAGCTAATTCCTCATTTTATCCAAGTGACGAGAGTCCAAACTCATTAGGATGAATTGCAACTATGATTGTTTAAGAAGGTAGTTCCAGTACTATGACTCTGAGTTGGAGCCTCGGGCCTCAGGATTGAGATGATATCATTTGGATGATGACTATGATCATTCACATCAATATTGTTACTACTAGTAGTATACAACTTGCTTGTTTTCAATATTTTACGGGAAAAACAAAAGAAAGCATTGAAGCACTGTATCAAAATGCATTTTCAATGATTCCTCTATTACTACAAATTATACATAACAATATCTGAGTCAGCTAGAGCTTTGGTATAAAATAACAGAGAAACAATGGGTCTACCAATTGGCACTACTGTGAATCTCCAAGTGGCATAGTATGAGCTGGACGTTACGAGTAAGATGCGAGCCATGAGAATAAATAATACTAGGAACTGACATCTAGTTCATGTGTCCTTGTCGCAGTAAGCCTCCCCCTCGACCAAGCGATGACTGATCAGATGTGCGGGAACATGTGTGGATTGCTGGTCCATCATTGACAAGTATCTGGTTCTTTGCTCTTCTGGCTACTGTGTCATACCAATTGGCATGGTGATCATAAGCCATGACTTGAGTCGAGTATGTGAAGTTGAAAATGATATCATCCCAATCAAAGGGAAGTGTGATTTGTGTAGCCCATAGGGCATCAAGATCAGCATTTGGGTTAGTGATGAGGGTGAGATCGACATAACAGTCTCTCATCATAGACAACCCTCTCTCGATGATTACCGTCACGTTGTCCATAATTTTATGTGGAAATAATGTCTGCTGTTTGCATCAGTAATGAATGGAGAAGAGCTGATGGTAATTACTCCTCGAGCAGTCAATTGAGGATTGTTTGTATCGATGTTGATTGGCGTATTTCCTCAGATCCACACCTGAAAGTTGACAGCTGAGAGTTCACACCAACAGTGGCCTTCTACCACAACCTTAGTAGGCCACTCCAGTGATCACTCTCCAGTGCGCATGGAAAGGAAGTGTGGTTGTGAATGGATGCACGGCTCTTGATGTAAGGTGCGATATGCTGCGGAGCAGGAAGTGGGTGAGCTGTAGGGAGGGGTTTCCTTGATGTTGGCCATCATGATTATTATAGCATCTGGATGTGCCCTGGCTACATTCCTCAAGTGTTGAAGGAGCTTGGTGGCGGACTGTGAGCTACATATTTCACAGAAGACTGGCATGGTTGTGGAGGGGGGGTTAGTGCAAAAATTGATGGTGTGGACAAAATCAGGGACAAACATTAGATCCCCTGCTCTGATGGTTAAGTTGGGATGTGATTGAACAACAATCAATCTTCCATAAATGAGGTGTTAAAGCATTTGAGCAACATCATCAAACCCTGGTCTGACAACATTTATTATGGTCTCATGGACACTGCTGGGCATCTCAACAATGAGCTTGTGTTGATTGGTGTAATATGCCAACCTATATGTGAATTTTGACTGTAAGTTATGAATTGCAAGTAATCGTCATCTATTTACCTCAGTTTTTCAGGCACTGCTTCACTTACGCACGATAACCAATGGTATTCTTCTTCACTGATATTATAGAATGCCTGACATAATAATGAGGCGAGTGATGGGTACAAGTGATCATGAATGATGTACTGCAAATTCCTGCTCACAATTCACTCATGAAATGAACTGAAGCACCTTATGGTGTTTACCTTGAAGTTATGATTAGTGAGCAATGTATGAATTGAAGCAAATTTGTTACCTCTGGTGGGTAAGTCACAGCCAACAAGTTGTGCTGGTTCACAAAGAAAATAATTTGATCGGACCTTTCCAGCAGCAGGAGGCTTAGTGGTCTCGACCTTCCCTGCCTGGGATGGGGGGGGGGGCTTGAGTTGTGTAAAATTCCTCCATAAGACCTTTGCCCCCATCCTCATTCAAGTTGCCCCAATGTCTTTTCTTGAGTACAGTTGCTGCAGGGCTGCAGGTGCGTGAAGAACGACTGCTGATGGTGGTTGTCCCAGGCATGATTATGCTGAACTTGAAATTTGAATTGTAGCCTTTGAAGATGGGGCAAAGCACAGCACGAGGTTTGCTTATCTAATATGGAATATGAACAGAGCACACGAAATCGAAGCTCAGACTCCTATATCAGTATAGCCATCATACACTGCAAGAGTAATTGTGATGCAATTGAATAACAGTTTTGGAGCAGAAGCCTTTATGTAAAGTGACTCACTGGGCAGGGTCTTGTCCCACTGACTCGGATCACCCTTTTGGTGCAATCACGTCCCAAAATTGCCTCCCCCACACAAATAACTCCACAAGCTTGTTTCTTTGGTGATATTACTAATTAGTGATCTCAGACTGTGTTCTGATGTAGGACTGGAAGTCCTTACAGCCTCATAGAGGCTATTTTTGTAGTATCCCTCAGCATCCTATTGCTTTACTATATGAAGCACAGCTTTCTCATGAGCTGCGCTTAGTGGCTGCTACTTTCCTGTGATGGCCATAGCATTCCTGCCCGCGTGCACAGCTGCACTTCATTGGCTGATGTTTTGCATCCATCCCTAGTCCAAAACCAACCCAATGGTACATTATTCCATGATGATATTTACATATCAGACCATTCCCGCATCACACCACCTTTATTTCATCATAGACCCTTATTTACATATAGCCTTACATACCTAACTCGGTAGCGTGTCGGCTCAGTTCTGTGTGACAGTGCTTAGCACAATACTTAAGCACTAGCAGTACATATCATTCAGTAGCTTGTTTTCTGGATGTTCCATTAGCAACTCCCATTAGCCTACAGTTGGTAGCTATTGGCAATCAGTATCCATTTACTGCCCACATCATATCCATTATCACCTTGCTCTACGTCTATTTCTCTTGTCCTTCATCTCTATTATCATCTGAACCTCTCGTGCATCGGCCGCTTCGCAGCCGCGTCTTTCCCACGCCTTCCGCTTTCAGCTGCCACTACATTCCCATGCCTTCTGCTTTCAGCTGCCGCTACATTCCCACGCTTACGTGCGCGCACCTGCCGCTTTCCCATGCTTCGCATTGGCCAACAAGCGGCACCTTCTGCACCCATTTCTAGACCTTTGCTGCACTAGCTTCCCCTTTAGGGTTGAACGCACTTGTTCCACAAGTATAGCAGATAGGCAGTGCACGACCTACAACATAAAGATATCAGTTTGGAGCCTATAGCACCACTCTGAGTTGTAAACCTACACCGACTCCTAGGGCTCTTTCAAGCGGGCTGTCAAAGCATGGGGCCTAACCCTGTTACTCATCCGAACATTTTCGGTTCCCTGACATCGAGTCACACTTGATCGATCAATAATTATTGTACACCTAGTTGAAGAAGAAGTTTGAATCTAAGTAATAACTTGGACATGTGTTCAATTGTTCTCTGGAGGACTTTCAAGTTGTTGAAGCAGTGAGTCTTCCATGAACTTTATCACTGAACTTGAACAGCAACTCTGTGGCTGTCATGTGACAAGATATACTAAGTTGGAACTTGATGACTCTTTCAAGTTGTTCTACATGAATGTTAGAAACACCCTTCGTATACTCCTGTGTCTGGTGTTCTGCAGATATCTTTTGGCCATGATCAGTCAACACTTGCAATATGGATCACCATGTGATCACCAGTTCTCTGAAAGTGCAGCGCTTGGTTGGCACCATAGGGCATGCAAACATTACAAGCATCGCCTGCATCTACAGGCCCAGCATTTCAAATGAGCTAGTGAAGACCTTAAACATAGGGCAAAGGTGTTCAAGAGGATGAAACCCACCCTAGCCACCCTGGGCCTCCAGGTTAGTACTAACCATACTGTTGCTCAGTCTATCATCACTAAATACTGATAAATGCATTCAAGGCTATGCACTCTTTATTTAGCAACAGACTGGAGCAATTGACTCGGACTGACATACCCATGAACCATACATCTGAGTCCTCAACAGCAAACCAACTCCTCACCCCTACTCCCATGCCGTCCGACATTGCAATTAATCACAATCCAACTAGTAGTTCAGATTTTCATCCCCCAGCTTCTTCCAATGTTCCAGACTCAACTCACAGTGATTCACGCCCAATGTGCACATGGTGACTCCCACTATGATACAGGGATAAACTTCCAGAACCACCACCACCTGTCATTCAGAACCCGCCAGCCCCACTTCTTACCCATGTCATTCTTCATGTATTCAACTCTATCCATACAAACTTGAATATTTTTGGGATTGCTCGTGAATATTGCCATCGCCCATCATATGACCCCAATGAATTTGTATCAACCGACAAACTCTCAAATATACATCCTCGCAACATTGGTGCCAATGCCATGCAGGATAGTGATGCGCCCTCTGCCTACCTCACCTCACATAAACCACCATGGCCTTGGAAAAACATGTCTATCTGGAGGTTAATGTCCTGGATGATGACAGGGAGCAATCAGAAGTTGCAAGCTGAGGTGACACATTTAGTGAAAGACATAATGAAAGCAGAGGATTTTGATGTCCATGATCTTCAGCATTTTGATGCCTACACTGAGATGAAGCATTTTAATGCATCTGATAATTCTATGGACCCCTCGAGCATCCTGGAGAATGATGGCTGGAAGAAAACTGATGTGGAGATCATTGTGCCCTCAAAGGAGAAGAATCAGAATGGGAATGAGCAGCCGTTCTCTGTTTCTGGACTCATCTACTGGCCGCTTACTGCAGTCATCAAGGCCGCATTCTTGGAACAGTCATCAAAATGGTTCCACTTCACGTCTTTCAAGCATGTTTGGAAATCACTGGTTACCAGACAAGAGCAACGGCTATACGACAAATTATACACCTCAGATGCATGGATTGAAGCTCATAATGAGCTGCAGAAACAAAGAAGGGATGATGGTTGTAAACTAGAGAGGGTCATAGCAGGCCTTATGTTCTGGTCCGACTCTACTCGTCTAGCCCACTTTGGGAATGCATTGACTTGGCCGCTATACCTGCTCTTCAGCAATCTGTCAAAATATGTTCATTCATGACCGAATGTATCAGTGTGTCATCCAGTGGCTTTCATTCCCACTGTAAGTGTCAAGTTTTGAATGTTTCTTGATCACTGGTTGATTAACTTGACTTTCAGCTACCTAAATCAATAATAAGATTCATATCAACATTTCTCCAGAGAAAGAAATATGACGACGTGCTCACACATTGTAAGCACGAGCTCTTCCATGGAGTCTGGTGTATCTTGCTTGACAATGAGTTCATTGATGCATACAAGAATGGCATTGTCATCAAATGCCACAATGGGGCATATCGACACATTTTCCCTAGAATATTTACATATTCAGCTGATTATCCTGAGAAGTAAGTTCCTCTCATTCTGTTTTCTATCTATGTTTAACTGGATATGGATCTAGAGTCCTTCTGGCAACTATACAGGACAAAGGCAACTGCCTGTGTCCACATTGTTTGACACCCAAATATCTGTTTAACTGTACTGGATATTTGTGTGACACAGCACAAAGGATGAAACGACTACGCACATATTTCACTGAGAAAGTGTCCCAAGCCTGCAATGCTATATACACACATGGTGCTCCCATAAAGGGAGGCTTGGTTGAGAGTCTCCTGAAACTGTTTTCATTGGTCCCTATTGTCGTAAGCTCGATTTTCTTGTATGCACTAAGTGATGTGTCTCAACATCCCTTCAGAACAGCTTTGTGGATTGTCTCTCACCATTAGGCTTTGATTTTTTCCCTATACTTGTGGTCAATCTACTACATGAATTTGAACTTGGGATATTAAAAGCAGTGATGATGCACTTGATATGGTTGCTCTATGCGGTTGACCCAAGGAAGCTCGCCACTATCAATGAAAGGTATCACATTTCTTTCACACTTAACCCTAGTCCTTATCAAACCATTCACATGTCAGGTTCCAGTCAATACCTTCGTTCGAAAGTTCCATTCAAAGGTTCCCAAATAATGTTTCATGTATGAAACAGCCAGTCACTTGACACCATGAGGATATGCTTCAAGTATGTTTCAGTCTCATGCTAGAAGGATTACTGATTAGTTGTAGTGCGCCATACCAGCTTTTGAAGGATTGTTTCCAGCTGAGCATGATGATGTTATCAGGATTCTACTCTTTTGTATGGCCGAATGGCATGCATTGGCAAAAATGTGCCTGCATTCTGATGACACCATTATTTTGCTTTATTGATCGCTTCAACGGTTAGGAGCTCAGCTTTGAAAGTTTAGCAGCTTTACTTGTTCAGCTTTTCAGACTTTTGAACTTCCTGGTGAGACAGCTGCTCGATACCGAAAACAACATTCCGGGTTTGAATCTCAGCCCAGTGTAAAGGCAACCGGACCCCGACCAAAATCATTTAACCTTTTCACATACAAGTTGCATGCCCTTGGCGACTATGTTCAATCCATCAGATGATTTGGTACAACTGACTCGTACACAACCCAAATTGTGAGTGTGAGTGCATTATTCAAGAACATTGACCATTCACTCACTCTGGACACAGGGAGAGATGGCACACTGTCTTATCAAGAAGTTCTACTGAATGACCAACAAAAAGGATGTATCTGAGCAATTAGCAAGACACGAAAGGCATCAGACATGCTTGAGGTGGCAGCAGGTTCTTGTAATGGAGGAACCTTTTGAGCCATTGCCAGAGCTTCATCACCACCTGTCAGATTCTTGGACTAATTGTGTTAATCTTGCAGGTTTCTCAGCGATCATTCCGGTGATCCTGCAGTCAAGGTAAACCTTAGTCTCTTGCGCAGATTGTCTGATGGATAATCCTTACAGGACTTCGTCCCTAAACTCAAAAACCATTTACTGTCTCACATACTTGGTTTCAAGTATGATGGTAATGAGTGCCAGTTCTCTGACTCAGAGAGAAACAATCTATGCTTCATCAACAACCTTTCTCGGGTCCAACAACCATGTCAATTATCAACTACACTACTTATAATGTTCGACAGGACCAGGATTCCATGTGGCCAGGACATAACTGCACTGTTATGACCTTGGCTAGGGAAGAAGGTGAACACACCCATCTTTTTTGGTATGCACACATATTGCGCACCTTTCACATCCAGGTGCTACATACAGGGCCACAAGCTCAAAACTGTTCCTCTCAAACTTTGGAGGTTCTCTAGGTTTGGTGGCTTGGAGTAGATCCCACATATCGATGGGGCCTTAAAGAAGTGTGACTCCTGAAGGTTGGATTTGTTCCCAGTACTGATGACAATGCCTTTGGCTTCCTTGACCCATTATTTGTCATCTGCAGTTGTCACCTTATTCCAGCCTTTGCGGAGGGTCGTTCAGATGCTCTTCTCAGGTGTGGTCCTTCACTTGCAAGATTTGATATTCTGTGCATAGCCGTGGCAATCTATACCTCATGCTGGGTGTGCCATTTGACACCTTGTCTGCTTGGCTGACCAAATTGAAGACCTCCTTGGAGAGTATGACTGGAGGACTTCCTTATATGATGAGGATGATGACCTGCAATACTTGGAAGAGTGATTTCTTATTTTGAGTTGAGACTGACTTGATTGCAGCAATCTAGGGAGGAAAAAACTTATCAGCCATTTCAGCAACTGCTTTGCTGGGTCCCATGCATCCACAGCCTCATCTCATCTCAAAGCAATGGACATCAACTCAATGTCATTTATCAGAAGGTAAGTCACATAATGCACTATTCTCAACCGGGGAGCTGATTCATCGAGGATGGCATTGACCATGAAATTTTGGTTGATATCAAGTGGGTGCTCTGAAAACTCAATGATGAATATGCTAACAATAGCATTGCCGACTTGCTCGCCACAACCAAATTAAGAGGATGTTCACAGCATACATCGCACAATCTACCACAGTACACTCAACATGATGGATATTGACAGAGACTCAGAAAATACTATGGACATCATTTATCAAGCCAAAGATGATCATTTGAAGGTTAGTTCATTTATATATTGTCGCACTTCTAATTCATTCTGACTTGGATTCTTGTCATTGCAGGGAGACAACGAAAGTCTCATGGATGTCAATAACACTCAGATCGGTCAAGACAATGAAGATCTTATGGATATTAATAACACTACTGGTCAAGACAATGAAAGTCTTATGGATGTCGACTCGAATAACACTCAGATCGATCAAGAAGTGGTATGTTTACTTGTTGTTGTTTTACTGGTTCTAACTTCTCAGATTTTTGTCCTTGCAGGGAGACAATGAAGATCCAATGGACGTCGATGACATTCAGACCGTTTATTGCTGCCATGAATGCAGGTACGTCTGTTTTATTAATATATCCGTCACATCTCTTATTGTCGAGGCAGCATTTGCACGAATTCTATCAGACCATGATATACAAGAACTCGCCTTTGGTATGATATACAGGTGTGAATCAGCAATGCATAGCAGTGATCAAGGGTGGTTACAGTAGTAAGTTAGGAAATACAATATTAGCGCAGTCTTGTCTATCATTTGCTTCTGCAAATAAGCAAAACATGTCTCTTCACGTTCTCACTCTCAACAATGCTATATACAGTTGCCCATAAGCAAATGGATCCATTCGCAAGTTGAGCACAGTTTGTGCTAGCGTCAGTCCTTGACAGCCATTAAATGTAGTTGCATATGCGAGTTGCAGAGGAAATTGTCTTCAATTTACTGTTTAGCCTGAACAGTTTGGATGGAATGTAAAGTTGATGTGGGGAATGCAGTGGCTTTCCAATATGTTGAGAAGTTGGACTTTGATGAACCGACAATGCAATGCTATCATGCACATGCGCACATTTCTGACCAATCCCTTTTCTACTGAGAGGTTTTATTGAATGGTGCAAACACAGTTTTCTTGCTTCTTGTAATATGGGTCTGTAAAGGGTCATAAATACATGCATACAATGAAGGCCGAGAAACAGGATTAGGAGCTCACCTGCCTTCGAGGGCCTGGGGACCTTCAAGTTGACATGCCTGCATAAGAGGAGGATGATGTGTTCACCTACACCAAGTGCCTGGATGGTAGCCTTTGGGTCTGTAAGTTCATGCCCATTGTGCAAGATGCTTTGTTCACTAGGGGGCATACTTGACTGCATGATCCAGAGTCATAGACAGGTCATCATATGAACACAGGAACAAGGAGGAAGCAAATACAAGGAAATTGGCATGTATTAGTTAGGGCTGGATAATAGATAACAAGCGACTCACCTCTTCCTCTAGTAGAGCCATCACATTCTCAAGCTCCATGTCAGGGTTGATGTCAACAGCATATGACTGGCCTAGATCTGTCAGGTATGCAGCCCACATAAGAGCAGCATGAATAATGTGAGTATCGCTTGGCAGTGGAATTGGAACATCAGGGCTAAGGTCATATATTTTGGTGCACATGCCAGTGATCACGTGATACACACACAAACACAAACAACATGTCCTGATGTGTTTGTTGATTTAATTTTCATGACCTTTTCTCCTACTAAAATTCATGGGCTTCCCTTTCGAAGGAATTAGCTTCTGTTAATGAGGCGACCTCAGATGATTTTTTGCCTTTGTTTTTCACACTGCTGGCCCAGGTGCAGTACCCCACAGAGTTCGCGAGATATTGGTTAGACGAGCTTGTCATGGCAGCAATTGCGCTGATGGTCAAATGCATTATTGCCCAATGGAACCCACTCCAGGATCCTCCAGGCTTGGTTACAACCTTCCGTACAGTACAGTGTCCTTGCATACGCTTGTATTCCCTTGGCTTCCATACCTTGGCTTGGGTATTGACAGTGTTCTGGGTGATATGCAAAGGAAGGTCAAGAGCCTTCTTGGGAGTTGGATACCAGCAGACGGCGCACTCAAGGACCTCAGTGGATGGAGGGAGGTTTTCGACAAAGGCAAGTGGGATGCTATGCTCCTCAAGTATGTTCTGTGTGTCATGTAATAGTACTATGATGTAGAGTGCACCAGATAGTATGGTTTTGCGTCCTCTGTCTCTAATGAATGAGTTAATTGCTTTTGAATTCGTTCTCTCTTCAAAAACACGCTCGATAGAACTGTCGATCATAAACAACAGGTCAAGTGGAAGCACATTTGTAACATTTTCACTCTTGAGTCTATAGGTACAATATGAACCTTGTGCAGCATTATGATATGCTGGTATTCAAAATCTGATGGGTTTATATGGCTATGTATTTTCTGTAGGAGATGATATTGTAAAATTATGCATCCCAAGAACTATAGAAATCCTCGTATCTGATTGTCATTTGATACATTGATATATTGGCATATGAAGCGCTGCATGCAAGGAGACTATGATCAATGGGCCATGATATGATGTGTGTTTGATAGACTATTCTATTCTATTCTATTATACTAGCATGTCATAAATGGTTGGAATCCTGATATAAGCAATGTCATATCGTGCTAAGTGGTTTTCAGTGATGATTAAGCATGATATCAAAGCATGAGTAGAAAAGTGGCTCACTGTTGTAATGGGCACTCAATGAATGAGAGGTGCAGAGGACAAGTAAGAGCAGAGAGAGGCTAGGTACTAGCATTGATTTGATGAAGAAAAAGGTACTACAAAGCTCTGAGCTACATAAAAGTATCTATAATGTGATAGTGTAAGATAAAACATAGGAATGAAACTGGGTATAGTAAATGCATTAGTGAGATAACAAGCCTGTAAATGTCTAAATGAGCTGATCCATATAGAACAGAGTACTTCAGTGCAACATTGGTACAGTAGAGTGACCATGAGCTAGGTAGAGTGGCTATGAGCTATATATAATGACTATGACCATGACACCATCCCTCTTCTGGAGTAAGTGAGGATAAGTATATAAGTCAAACCTTTTGGCAGGATATAAGACACAACCCCCACAGGTTGTAGTCTGTATTGGGGGCATGTACTCATATCTCAATCTCTGACATACAGCAGTGGGAGAAACAGCAGTGAGGGCAGATATGGAGGGCTCCAGAGGTGAAGTGGGCAGTGGGACCTGGAGAAACAAAGCAGAGTCATTAGTCAGAGGTAGTAGATTGTAATTTTTTGTGATATTGAGTAGATGGAGATGTGGAGAATGTGAGTGATGACAATCAAAACATTCAATGAGTTTGTTAAATGAGTTGGGGATGTCAGAAAAGAGAAGCTATGAATCTTTTGACTTGGGTAGAGACTTCCACTGCATAAGGTACTTGTAATAGTGGCTAGTCTTGTGACAGTCTAGGATTGACTTGATGTTGTTGGCAGAGTCATCAGTGAGGTTAAAGAGAAGTAATGATGAGTGGGTGTGAAATTAGGAGGGGTTAATATAAGGTTTGATGAGAGAAACATTGAAGACAGGGTGAAGACAAGATAAGTAGGAGGGAAGACAAAGTAGGTAAGCAAAAGAACTACTTTTGCAAATGATAGGGTATAGACTGAGTTGATGATCATTGAGCTTTAAGGAAGGATGTGTGGTCTTGATGTTGCAGCACAGTAACCAGACCAATTGGTCAGGTTTAAATTCTGGCGCAACTAAAGCCTTCTTGTTGTCATACTTGGCTTAGGTGTCTTGCGCAAACTGTAACTTGGCATGCAGCTCTTTATGAATCACATCAAGTCTTGTGGTAAGATCAGCAGCTGCAGAAATAGTTGAGTGTTTGGTGACCTGCAGTTTGAAGGTTGGGTGAAAGGCATAGTTAGTGAAAAACAGAGTCTAATGAGTGGAAGTGCTTTTGAGGTTGTTAAATGCAAACTTGGTGAGAGGGAGGTAGTCAACCTAATTATCCTGTTGATATAAACAATAGGCACAGAGGTAAGTCTTTATCATCTAGTTCATATGTTCCATCAGACCATCAGTCTGTAGGTGGTATGCTGTTGACATGCAAGTATCTATCTTTAGCAATGAAGTGAGCTTAGACCAGAATTTGAATATAAAAACAAAGCCATGGTCAGAAACAATGAAATCAGGAAGACCATGCAAATAAAAAATACAGTCAAGAAATAACCAAGCCAGGTCAGGAGCTGATAGTACTTTCTGACATAGGATGAAGTGTACATATCTTATGAGTCAGTTACAAATGACCCAGATCAAGTTATAGTTGTGGGATGTTGGGAGTTTGATGATGAAGTCCATGGATAGGAAGAGACATCGAGAGGTTGGAGTGAGCCATAAGGCTTATGATAGAGTGTTTTGATATACGTACAGATGTTACAAGCTTCTACATAGTGTCTGACAAATATTTGCATGCCTGGCCATGAGTAGTCTTGAGCAACAAGTCCCAATGTTTGATTGAATCCTGGGTGATCTGCTATAATAGCATCATGCAGGGAGAATACAATATCAGTGTGTTTAATGAGGAAGGAACAAAGAGTTTTTCTTTATAGAATACTAGACTATTCTTGGAGACAAAGTCTGTCTTGCCATACATGAGTGCTTCTCACCACTTAGTGTCCTCTTGGAGTGCTGTTTTGAAATACTTGAGGAGTGCTCAGTTATCAATGGAGAGAGTTGTGACAGTGTTGAGGTGGAGGGCAGTTGAGAACAGTGATCCTGTGTGCTTAGGCATTAGTATGACATGATTTTGACCCAATAGGGTTTCATCCTCCTTCTGCAGGAGGAAATTGGGCCGATGAGAGGAAGCATCAGCAATATTGCCTTTGCCTGGGGCCCAAGCTAGAGAGAAATCAAAGTCAGAGAGGAACATTGCCTAATGTGCCTGATGGTAGTTGAGCATGCGTGAAGACATGAAATATTCAAGATTTTTGTGGTCAGAGATAACGGAAATGGAGAAGGGTGTGTCAATAATTATTGATGTAATTGCAATCTCAGTAGTATTATTTGGTGATGTTTGGACATTAGATGACTATTAGCATTACTTGTTTCTCATTTTTGTCTCTCAATCATTTCACTTGACAGCTGAGGTGAGCCTCGTATTCTTTTGTATAAAGCTATGCTAATCTGTATCTAGTGTTCGCATTTATAGGTACAGTATACTAATACAGTTGTTTCACTCAATAACCGAGTGTTCACATTATTAGGCTATGAGCCCTGAGGCCATCTGAGTCTAGTAGGTAACATCAAATGACCTTCCATGAATCAGCAATGAGTACTGAGTTAACAACGACCAATGTCCCCATCCTGTCCAAATACAATTATCTAACTTGGAAAATTCAAATCTGAGAAAAGCTCTAATGGAAAAAGGTTTGGTATACAGTCTCCAGTGAAGACCCTGATCCTTCAGTGCTGCCAGCAGCTGGCACCACATCATCTGTTGTCCAGCAGTCCACAACAGCTCCCACTCCCAGTGCCTCTGTGTCGACAGAAATTATATCTGCAGCACCATCATCTATTTCAATCACATCTAGCTTCCCTAACACCTGGAAAATTCGCAATGACAAAGCTCTCAGTGTCATCATTAAATATGTCAGTAATGAAAAGCTAGACCTCATTGCAGATGAAACCTCTGCCAAAGGTGCATGGAAGAAGCTCGAAAGAGTACACCAAGATACTAATACAGGATTAATTACATTTTTTATGCTTAAGACTATGATGAAACAGAAGTATGCTGACTTCTCATCAATGGAGGAACACATCACTACCTTTGTGGCTGACAATTGAAAGCTCACAGCCATAGAAAAAGCAATCAGTGACAAGATACAGGCATTCCTCATGTTAATGTTACTATCATTCACTCCTATATGGGACATATTCACAATCTTGTTGCTTCAAGCACTTCCTGCTGCCTCAACACTTACTTTCAAAGCTGTCTCTACATAACTGCTCTCGCAATCCTTGCTTATTAAAGGGAGTTCAGCACCTTTGGAATTTTCATCCATACTCACTGCTGATGTGTGCACTGGCATGAATACAAATCATGACCAAGGACAATACTGTAACTACCATGAGTTGCATGGTCATGCTATGAAGGACTGTCAAGATTTGAAGGACTTGAGGAAGGAGTGAAAGAAGAGGAAGCAGAAACTGCGGGAACAAAAGAAGTCTGGATCAAAGGCCAAGGCAAACAAAGCAGATACAGACTCAAACTCAGACACAGATGGGACTGACTCAGACACTGTTGAAACTTGGAGCAGGAGTGAGAAGGCACAGCATGCATATACAAAGCATCATAATAATAATTCTCGATGTGTATATATCACAAAGACTTTAATAAAACATGTTCAATTGTGCATATTGATGACTGCTGCAGCCACTAACACGACTCAACAATTAAAGGACATCCTCATCGACTCCAGTTGTTCATATCACATGACACTACACAGGTCATGATTTGTTGAATCTACATTCCAAAAACTGTGAAGGCCAATTGCGATTCACCTTGGTGATGATTCAAAGATCAATGCAATAGGTCTTGGATTAATACAATGTATATAACACCTAAATGGAGAGCAACACCACCTTATCATCAATGATGTCTTAAATGCACCTTATCTCACAGTCATGCTCCTATCAGTGAGATGACTTGCACGTCACAACTGCATTACATTTGATGAACCCTTATGCTAAATATGCAATTGAAAAAGCAACCAAGTTATTGTGGAGGGAGAGGAACATAATAACGGGGATTTTGGATAAAGAGAGCTGTAATATTTGCAATATTGACTAAGAACTACAAAATATTGGGTTTGACCTCTAAGCATTGGAAAACAGCTCTCTACTACTTGGATGATGGGTGATACTGTGGGGAGTCTAATATTTATGTAGATATGTAGAAATACAGAATACCTAGGTGAAAGCAGTAGCAAAATATTTCAGATTCAAAGTACATGTAAACAGACATGAGGTGCTGCAGATGATGAGAAAACATGTAATAGTGCTGGCTATGACATAAGTAACATGGGAAATAATCAACTACACACCTAGTAGGCTAGCAAGACAGGAGCAAGACAGGACAGGACACAGGAAGGATGTGTGCACAGGATATTGGATCAGCTGATGTGGCTGAAACATTAGGTCTGCTAGTCAAAGTATTGGGTTCAGTGAGTAAGTATCGGGTTACATCAGGAAGTTATTAGCATGCAACAGGCATTTGACATGAATTGTAAAATAACTGAATATAAGCTTAGCATGAGGCTAAGTGCTATATCGTAAAGACCTTCCTTTGAATATCTATGGGACCTAGAATTCTTTAATACTGGAAGATGAAAACTTTGCATAGGAGTTGCTTCTGTGTTTATAGAGGATTGGGAAGTATCTTAAAGCAATGGATATTGTCAAATATCTTGATTGAGCTAATGTAAAGTCACAGTTAAAACTAACTAAAACAAAATCCCTCTCAACAGCACAATGTTAGATGAGTTATGTTGGTTTTCAGTGGTCAAAGACACTAACTGATCAGTTTGTTGACAGACATGAGAGGATTGATGTGGTGGAATATTAACAAGTAGCTTTTCTTCCCATTTGGGCCAAGCTACTATTTTGCACACAAATTTATACAACTGATAGAAACAAAGATACCTCACTGCCATCAAGTACTAAGGCTTGTCAAGTCATAATCTAAAATCATAATGAGTTGATATATTATGCAAATGATTGAAGAAAAATTTGATGGGTGCACAAAAGTGAAACTGCCATACCTTATACCAAAGGAGAAGGTGCATCACTAATAGTTGCTGATATGGTTAGCCCTGATTATAGATGGCTGTATTCACCAGATGGAACAGAGTGTGCTCATATCCTATTCAAACCTTGTAAGACCCATGAATGTTACTTTATCTGTGAGGACATTCTCAAACAGGCTTTAAGTGCAATGGATATACTCAAGAAATACTATACAAATGAGGATCATGTCATAGTATTTGACAATAACATACCTAAAGCATACAAATGATGCACTCTCTGCAAGACATATGCCTAAGTTCTCCCCGAAGCATGGTGACTAGTGGGATGACATTGATTAGGAAGAGAGCTGACAGCTAGAGTATTAGGATGTGGGGGTAAATGTGATTAATGAAAGTGGAAAACCTGTCCACAGTCCAAATAGTGCACATTAAAAAAGGAAGATGCCAATGAGTGATAGTAAGTTTATAGATGGATCATTACCGTTACTGTATTATCCAGAAGGCCATTTGCTTACTAGTATCTTCAAAGAAATGTGAGTAATACTTGAAGCATAAGGCTATTGAAGATCCAGGCAGAGTACCTGAAGTTTCAGTGCAAGAAGGGGGCCATTTATTGTTGCCATCAGCAAATGCTCTATAACAAGCCTGACTTTGTGGATGTCAAGTTATTGCTAGAGATTGTTTACTGGCTTTGAAATCACCTTACTTTGTCAGAATAATATATTAACATTATAATTACAAGAGACAGATATTGCACTAACAATTGTAATGGTTAATAATACATTTACAAGCCTTAGCAACTAGCTAATAGATGACACAGTATTGTGATCACTTTACACTCTTGGACCAAAGGCAGCTTAAATAGAAACTGCCTCTTCTTCAAAGACTGTGTTACGACAAGCGGTCGTGTGTGACTAGGATGATCTAAACAGCGACAACCACGACAGTGGTACCAAGTGCTGAGAGTCGTCGGCCTTTACAGACAAGCAAAGGTTGCGTACTCGAACGTAGCTCGTGGTGGTTAACGAGGGGTTACGCTGAGATGATAGCAGAGTTACAGACAGTGAGAGGCGTCACTGAAGGTACGAGTCGATGTCGAGCAGGTAGCTTTAGCGGGACAAGGAGTTCAAGGATAAACCTAGTTGATTAGACTAGTTCTGGGATGTACCTAGTAAGATTAAAGTAAGGAACGTCTACTTGTAATCTTCGACCTTATATAAGGCTACTCTATCGTATCTAAGCTCAGCCTAAAGCTGGGTTCTAATATGCTTATCTACATGAGTCAGAGATAGCGTCCATGAGGCGGGCTTCTATCGTAGATAGCGTCCATGCGGTACGCTTCCATCAGAGATAGGATCCACGTGGTATCCTTCTATCAGTACATGAGGCAACACGAGGCTTGCCTTCTATCTTGATAACATAAATAGGTCTTCTAGACCTATGTCGTCATGTGTCGTCACGTGCGGTCCAGACCGCTTATCTAAGCCGGCAGTTGCCGCTTATCGTCTCTCATCTATCATCATCTATCGTCGTCTATGGAGCTGGTGAGACTCCGGTGTCGTCTATCGTCTATAGCCGTGCGGGTGGCAGAGGGCTGTCTGCTGGCGGGGGACTCGTGCCATGTTACTGTAACAGACTGTATCTGATACTAGAGAGTTTTCAAAGAATAAAATATGTAGCTCATCTTATGTATATTTCATAATCATAGTAGATTGTCATTTGTTATTCATATTTTGCAATTGATAACCTGATCTAGTATTACAACCACATTGAGATAATAAGGCACTGCATTATGATCATACAATATTCTGAGAGTATTGGCAGCTTGTTGACGTCTAAATCCTCCGAGTCGAATGTTGCCAATGAGACTGAAGCCGAAGAACAAGATGACGAATGAGTGGTCCGAGCGCAAGGGCAAAGAGGCACAGGGACGAGAGATGTGACGTCGGAGCTGAAATCTTCCAAGTATCAATGTTTTGTTTTAATATCATTTAGAAAAAGACTTACCATATAAAAGGCAGCAGCCAGCCACCCAAGCATCTCAGTTCTGACCAAGATACTGAGACGTGAGTTAGCTTTACTTTACCCTTCGAGTAGATGTACTGATGACGACATAGGAGACTCACCTGTTAGGTACATACGTCGTCAATATAGAATTCTGACCAATGTAGCACTCGAGCTCGCGCTAGGCTCATACTCAGCTATTTTCCCATGCATGTCAAATATCTGAATCACTTCCCGATGTTATCCAACACTCATCCACTCAATCCGACGCTAACCTGCTCAATCTGATGTTTATCCGCTAAACCCGATGCTAATCCGACGGACCTGACGTTTCCTGTGCATCGGACCCGATGTTTTCCCGCACATTTGTCCTCCCTATGTCTTGTCCTGTCGTATCTATCCCCACTAGGTGCGCAGTTATTCATTTTCACATCGCTAACATTGTAGAACACGTTATTACATGTCCGCAGTACATCGTGTCTTATTACATAGAACATCGGACCCAAAAATCAGCGCTACTACTTTCGCTTATAGCACTCCGAAATTCTACATAGATACTATATATTTCACATACCTCCTACCTATTTACTTACCTTTCTACCTCCGAGTAGGAGGAGGTCATCCAATATTCGTAGTTCTTAGTTGGATTCTGCAATATCATCCATTCCTTATCTGAAACATCTGACAGTAACCCGCCGTTCGCTATCCCCGACATTTGCTACATTCCCGATGCTAACCCGATGCTAACCCGACGCAAACCTGATGAACCCGCTAACCCGAAACCCGAAAACATCGGACCCGACGTTTTTGACATCAAACTCGTAATTATACCTTCGGACTTTGTTTCCCGCGCTTCGGACTATCTTCCTTTTGATATAACTGATTATTCTAATACCAACAGCAAGCCCCTCGGGTCGAACACACTTGTCTTGCAAGTATAAGCAGACTAGGCTGTGCACGACCACAACATTTTATATTGCTGGCTACTTACTTTGTGTAGTGCCCAGCAATTGTTGTATCTCTACACCGAGCTCATCCAGATCAATTTACAGCAGCACTTGCAGGAAACAAGGTGTGACAAGGGAGCTGACGTAAAAGCTCACTTCACTGAGATGCTGCACTTGTGCGAGCTACTTGCAGGCATGGGTGCGGGATCCTCAATACGGACTTCCACGCCATTATTCTTGGCTCACTCCCCAAATCCTATCGCCCTCTCCTGTCCTCCATTAACGCCGCTGCCAAAATCACAAAGACCCCCTTGTCCTCCTACGAACTAATCAGTATTGTTACGGAGGAATACAAGCACTGTCAGCTCATCGAGAAACACCCCAGTAAAAAGGGGAGCATGGGCACGGCACTTAGTGCAAGGGAGCCTAGAGATGAGGGAAAAAGGTCAGCTACATCAAGCAAGATGAACACAGACATTACCTGCTATAATTGCGACTGTAAAGGTCACTACAAGACCAATTGTTGGAGACCTGGAGGGGGAAAAGAGGGCCAAGGCCTGAATCAGCAAAGGCGAAAAGGTGAAAAGGGACAGAAGGAGACGGCAAACTCAGCCGCAGAGTCTGGGTCCCAGGACCAATATGCGTTTGTATCATCCGACTTGGCGAGTGTCGCCAAGGACCTCAAAGTCCCCATTGAATGCCGTGGTGCCATCGTCAATTCCGGTGCCACGTTGCATTTCTGCCCAGACCAGGCAAAATTCACCAATTTCACCTCTATATCCCCCCAGGAAATCCATACGGCCGATGGCTCAAGCCTGAGCACCATAGGTCGTGGAGACATCGAGCTAGAGTTGCCCCTCTGTGAGAAATGCACGAAAGTCACTGAAAAATGCATTATACGCACCTGCCATGGCCTTTACCCTCATATCCACCAATCACATAGCAGCTGCAGGCATGGCTGTCCTTTTCGAGGGGTGCATGTGCAAGGTCTTGTCCCAGGGACCGAAACACCGGGTCATTGCGGAAATTCCGCAAGTTGAGGGTCTCTATAGCATAGCAGCAGGAAGGACAAGTTAGCACCATGCAAATGTTGCTAAAGTGAAACTTACCATGAGTGAGTTGCACCGGGTGCTGGGCCATGTCTCCCAGCCTGCAGTGGTCGAGGCCGTGAACAAAGGTCTTGTTGTGGGCATTGAGCTGGACAAAGACTCCAAGCCAGAGTTCTGTGACGCATGTGTCAAAGCAAGGTCAGCGTGGAAACCATTCCCCAATGAGAGCCACAACTGAGCACGCACCTATGGAGAGTTGGTCCATACAGACCTATGGGGCCCCGCACAGACCACCAGCTTGGGCAGATGCTGGTACTACATCTCCTTCACAGATGATTGCACACGCCAGACCAAAATTCAGTTCTTGAAGCTGAAGAGCAAGGCACTCACCGCCTTCAAGGCCTATGAGGCCTGGCTTACACGCCAAAATCCAGGCGTCCAGCTCCACAAGATCAGGTCTGATCGTGGAGGAGAGTACCTAAGTGCCAAATTCGACGAGTACTTGAGTGAGCGCAGCATTGAGAGACAACTCATAGTGCACGACTCACCTCAGCAGAATGGAGTGGCCGAGTGCCTAAACCGCACCCTCATCGAGCATGCCAGAGCCATGTTGCTGGTGAAGGACCTCCCTAAGAACCTGTGGGCAGAGGCAGTTAATTACACCACCTGGCTGAAAAATCGCCTACCGTCTAGGGCAACACCAGGTGCGACACCATTTGAGCTGGTCACCAAGACCAAGCCCAACCTCTCCCATGCACGAGAATTCAGCACCAGGATCTTCATGCAATACTGAGATGTGAGTTAGCTTTACTTTACCCTTTGAGTAGACATACTGATGACGACGTAGGAGACTCACCTGTTAGGTACATACATTGTCAATATAGAGTTCTGACCAAGATACTGAGACAAGACTCACCTGTTAGATCTTATCCACGCAATTCCCTCTCTAGACAGCTTTGGTCCAATGTGGTCTAGTCATATAAAGCTTAATCTGACTTAGATATTCGTGTAGAAATTATTTAGGAAAAAACAGTCTAAGGTCACATGGGACAGGCAAAATTATAGTGTATTATAATTCACTATGACCCTCCAGGCATCCCTATACCCTTCTTTACCTGTTCTCTTTGTCTTTTTACTTGTGCAATATATCTGTGATTAATCATACAAAAGTAGTTGAGTCATATTTGTTATACATTTATCCTTTAGCTACCCATGCTAATGAAGGTAGAATTTACCTCATCCCTTCCTTCTTTGCACTTATTTCTTCTAAAGCATTACAGTATGACAGCCATATAATTGCATATCAATGTGATATTTTCTATAGTATTTATTTGCTTAAAGTCCTAGCACAAAATATCACTATCCATGGTGTTCCTTATTGTGTGGGAATAATAGTGGGACTCAAGGTAGATTTTGGCGCCTGGCTACTCGCGGCTAAAGCGTCAGGAAAGTCGAAAAAACACAGCCTGCATGGCACCGCAATTCGAAGTCAGGCTTTCGGAGTTTGAAACACCATGCCTGCCCTTCGCCATCTTGCTCGTCGCTCAGCACGACTTAGAGCCAACACTCAAGAGGTGCGCTCAAATCCAATGGATCCGCAGGCCTCCTCGTCGCAACGACAACCTGAATCCAATCATCAAGATACAATCAAGTTCGCTATCCAGTGGGAAAGGGATCATGCTCTCACTACAATCCTCATCAATCATCTGACTACTCACCCACCTGATTGTCGCATCCTGTTCTATTCCAATGGTAAGAAAGCAATGCCTAACGTTGATGATGCCCCCTCGGGCAAGGACAAGAATGAAATACACGATGTTATTGCCAAGCTCATCTTTGCGACCCACTCCAAATACAAGACCGCATATCATCAGGATCTGAAGAAGTTTCATGTGTCAGTCGCCAACCGCATCACAGCGTAAGTCTCTTTCTCTTGTTCTTATTTACGCTGATAAAATTTCAAGTCTCAAAAATAAATACAAGAAGTGCAAGGCCAAGTTCAGTGCAATGGGTGCTGGTGTGGTGCCATTGGATGCGACTACCTCGAACAACTTATTGGGTGAGTCCTTTATACTTATTTCTTGATTATTGACTGATCAAACTTTGCAGATGAAGTCAATGCTGAACTTCCATGGTATACCGATCTCGATAGCATGTGGCACTCGATCCCATCTTTTGCGATTAAATCGCATTCATCCAGGCTGGGGGTTGACCACGCAGGTAATCTCTATGCGCTCGTACAGCCGCATGGTGACCCTGGCAGGGCTGGTCCCTCGATGAATTTTGAGGGTGCCACTCAGCCATCACACAGTGCATCCTCCCCCCAATCGCAGCCCCATCTGCCATCACACAGTGCATCCTCCACTCAGCTGCAGCCCCACAGTACGTTCTCCCCCCAGCCCCAACCCTCTAACGGCTCTTACAACAACAATCCTCCTATTGATCCGTGTCTTCTGCAAGCTCCTCCCTCCTTTCCTCGTAACGACACTAGTAATACCAATCATGATGCGGATGCGGACATGGATAATGGCTCTTCCAACAACAATCCTCCTATTGATCCGCGTCTTCTGCAAGCTCCTCCCTCCTTTCATCGTAACGACACGGACTGTAATATGGATGGCCCTGATGACGATGACAATGACGATGACCTGGATCTGAGTGGTGCTTTGTCCGCCCCCCTCGGGGACGCAATGCGCCACTTGGAAGATGACCCCATGACCCCCGACAGCCACACTAGAGCCACTGGAAAAAAGTGTCAACTTGCAGCATCGCCCTCTCCTCCTCCCAACGTTCCCAGTGCTTTTGAAGTGCCGCAGAAATCGCCGACACCCTTTTATGACAGCCGTGCGGCATTCGGCGCACAGCGACCCTCCAGTTGTGGGGGGCATCACAGAAAAACACCCTCTATCGCATCGTCAGGGATGTCCCGCAGCATGTCAACCCCTTCCTCAACAACTCGCAACACATCATCCGACAGTTTAATAAGTCCCACCCCCCACACATCATTGCCAACCAGCACCGAAGGCTCGAAGAAGAAGAAAGCCAAGTCGGACGTTCAGGAACAGGTTGCCAAGGTAAATGACGAGATTGAGAGCATCCAGTCCAGTGCTGTGTCGCGCCATGAGGCGAAGCATCAACGCTTCCTCGCGAAGCTTGATGTGAAGACTGACTACCATCGTGATGTGAAGAAGTACGAGTGGCTTCGTGACACGCGTGCGCACGAGTCCTCACAAGCCGCCGTCAATCACCAATGCCATCAGGAGAGTAAGGACGCTGAAATCCGCCTTCGTGAGACGGATATTCAAGTGCACAAGGCACATTCCTTAGTCCTCGACAAGGAAGCGGAAACCTTACGCCTCAAGATCCAGTTCCATCAGATGATGCAGGGTAGCAAACCTCCTGCCTCGCATGGGGAGTGAGTCGTTTGTCGTTGTCGTTGTCCGTTGTCATTGTCGTTGTCGTCCATTGTCGTCGTTGTCATCGTCTGTTGTCATTGTTGTCGTCGTTGTCGTCCGTTGTCGTCATCATCATCATCATGTCATCGTTTTGCCGCTCTCATTTTTATTTATTTTTTGTTCTCATTGTTGTTGTGTTTGATGGTACATATGTTACATATGTTGTACAAGTATCTTACTAGTAGGACACATTCATGGTCAATATAAGCTTTCTTGGTCTTCACCCCCTCCTACGTTGAGCCCTTGAATGAGGACTGTCAAAGAGCTGATCCATCAGCTTTAAACGAGTAGTCTGGCCTGGAGTTCCTTCATAAGATCTGTCACCAACTATTTCATCACCATCTACATCTTCATGCTCTTGAGGTATAAAGTCCCCACCCTCTACACGAGCCCACTTCAGAGAATTCTTGTATAATCCATCCTGCTGGAGATGATGGGATTCAAAGCGGATAATCATGTTGTGCAGGATGATACAACATTTAATCCACTGCACAGCAAACTCCAGGTCTTTCTCTGACTGAATATTGAACTGGAGCTCTCGGAGAGACTGGAACCGTCCCTTCAAAACAGCAAATGTGTGTTCCACACGCACACGGACCTAAATAAATTTAAATTCACTGAAAATCCACCCAAGCAAAAATCATACTTTAGAAAGGTGATAATTGAATGTCTTCTGGTTCTTTGTCAACCGTCCATTGTGAGGCTTCTTGAAAAAGGCTATACACCATGGCTCCAATGGATATGCACTGTCTGCCCAAACCCAGTGACCATCAGGCAGAAGGTCAGCATGCTCTTCATATAGGTGAGTGGATCGAAAAGCAAAGGCATCATGAACACTCCCAGGTTGACCAAGGGAATAATCAACAATCAGGAGGTTGTGGGGCAGAATGACTGCCTAGAATTAAATTAATTTTTTTATTGATGATAATAGAGAAAAACACATTACTTGACAACCAAGGGAATACTTTGATTTCCTATCATAAAACACCTCACCATAAAAGCCAGGTTTGGCATAAAGGTCCATAGTTGAGCCATCAATGGCTAGAAAGCCTCCACTCCACTCTGGACAGGTTTGAGACTCAGCAAATGCCTGAGCCAAGCGAGCATCCTCAGAGTCAGCTGCTGGGAAGTTGATAAACTTATCATGTGCATCGAGCACTGCAACCATCACATGATGAGAGCAATTGACAACTGACCCAACGCTCACACCTGCCCATTGAGCGACATCCTCAAGAGTAATGGCATTCCCATAGTGGCCTGCACGATTGAGAAAAATGGCAAGCTGGATGGAAACAGGGAGCTGAGGATTGTTGGACTGGTTGTGGAAGATAGGGTGATCGGAGATCTGATCAAGGATATCATCGAAGATCTCTGGGTTAACACGAAGTTTCTGCCGAAACAAATGAGGGCGGTGTTCCTCGTGATGAACTAGCATATGAAGCTGAGGTGCTCGTGGAGGTGGTTCATCTGGCTTGTGGAGTACCCGTGCCCTTTCGACTTCATCACGAAGTGCAGTGATGGTGTCTTGGAGCCTATTGTAATGTGCAGCAACATCAGCACTGGATTCATCACTAGACTCGGAGGAAGAATAAGAAGTCGCAGTGCTGGCAAAAGGTGACAGTGGGGACAGTGGGGATGGGGGGGACATCGAGCTAAAAGGCATGTTGATACTATCTTCATCATCATCTGAGTCTGAATCTGTGTCCCAGTCCATATCAGACTCGGAGTCAGACCAGTCGTCTAGGAGTGCATTCTGGTATTGCAAATTGGCTAATGATAAAGTAGCTTTATCAATAGAATTGAGGAGATCTTCACGTAGGGCTACATGAGGCATGATCATAGTGGGGAGGGGTATTATCTTATTAGTTGTCCGATCTCCAACTGATTCAGCGGAGTTTGAATCAGAGTTTGAATTTCTGCTGCCATCAGTGTTGCTGATGTCGTCGACCTCATTGATGGCGACTGCACTCAACCACGCCCCCACACCAATTCTGATGGCAGCTGCACTCAACCACGCCCCCACACCAACCCTGATGGCGGCCGCACTCAACCACGCCCCCACACCAACCCATAACATCCTGATGGCGGCTGCACTCAACCACACCCCCATGCTAATCCACAACTTCCCTGTCATTGTCATTACCTGTGAAGAGACCGAGACAAGCTCATTGGTGCTTGGCAAGAAGCTTAACCTGAAGGAACTGAGGTTGGCATCAGAGGATCTGCTTGCTGATTTCTTCACGCTCGATAAGAACTCTAGTGCGTTTTCTTCTTCTTCTTATGAACTCATCTGATTGATATGGACAATCAGTGTCGCTACTTTCATTGACCAGCGAGATGTTCCCAAAAGTTGTCACTATGATCGATGCATCGATCACATCCTCCTCTTCCATATTTGCCTTACACTGGATGGGCTTGATTGGCCATCACACAGCGCATCCTCCCCCCAATTGCAGCCCCATCTGCCATCACACAGCGCATCCTCTGCTCAGCCGCAGCCCCACAGTACATTTTCCCCCCAGCCCCAACCTTCTAACGGCTCTTCCAACAACAATCCTCCTATTGATCCGCGTCTTCTGCAAGCTCCTCCCTCCTTTCCTCATAACAACACTAGTAATAACGCGCATGCGGACATGGACTGTTATATGCATGACCCCACGGTCCGCTGACTCTTGCTCAATGCTTCGGAGTCCCCCCTCCCTCACTGTCACGCACTCAGAAAAATCGCCGACAAACCATTTCACATATGCGCACATCTGTGGATTTCTGTTTCATTGCATCTCGTGTAATTTCCCTTGCTTGTTAAATACATAGCTATATCTACATGTTTTTGTCGTAGTCTACATGCCTCAAAAAATGACAAGTGTTGTTTCCAAGTCCACTCTGATGCCGCTATGTGCCGTGTGTTTTGGTGGCTTTCTGGCCGAGTTTTCTGAAGACTTTAGCGAGTTTTCTGAAGCTTTAGCGAGTTTCAAAATCTACTTTGAGTCCCACTAATTGGTCCCAACTTCGGTGTGAATATTTTATTGGGTATCAATAATAGAATTCAGGTGCGAAGATCTCGACTCGGTATCAATACGGTTGTAATCGAGTCTCAGAGGTACGTGATTGCAACCGACTTAGGAAATTTCCGACACATGAGTAGAGAGCACTCGAAGGTGCTATGGCACTGCTCTCTCAAGCTTATTAGTGTAGGAAGTTCACCGTGTGAATTCTCATCATGTTTCTCACCAGCGAACTCAAAAATGGAGGAATCATCCACCCAGTCACCATGACACCTTCGCCAATGGCGAGCGAGAGTACCATCCTTGCCAACACCTGTCGATGTGCGCACGTGGATTCCCGCACTTTCGTGAACACGCACGCCTGAATCGACGCAGGTGCTCGCACTGACATCTATCCCTGCATGGGTGCAGATGCCCGCATTGATGTAGATGCCCACATCGACGTGGATGCCCGCATCAACGAGGATGCTTGTATTAACACAGATGCCCGCATTTATGCTCATGCAGATGCCTTCTTACTGCTTTGGTATTAAGTATCCTCTCATCAAGCTTCACCTCCTTGCGGCTCCTACGATTTGGGGATCCGAGGTTCAGTTCTCTACGTCGCATTCACTCCTACTAATATGGGAATCGCAGCTTACCTCGGCTCACTTTTGCACAGGTCAGGGTCACTATCGGGGCCGGGTTGCCCCTTCGGAGTTTCCACCCAAAAACTATCTGCTTACATCCAAGCAGACATTTATCTCGTTCTCACTACTTACACAACTGCACAAGAGCGCCCAAAAGTTGTCATTATAGGATGCGTGGAAGCTCACGGTTTCCCACAGGAATACATCGAGAGACTGGCCCTTCCTTGTCTCTAACTCGCTATCACGTCCACCGCCTGAAATCAAGCAACAGATGCTCGACTCCTGCACTATCGCTTGTGCTGGTGTCTTCATGTCCGTTCCTGGGTGCGTCACATCAACGAGCCGTGTTATGTTTGGTGTGCCATGCTCGTACCCTAGATTCCTTCGGATTCCTCCGACTCCCTAGAGGCGCTGGTTCCCAGCTACAGAAATGACGCAGGAGCATTCAAATTCACTCATGGCCTTCGTATCAGAATGTTTAATAGGATGCATGTATCCCTCAGTAGTGCTTCAGTAACAATCCTAATCTTCTGTAAGCCAATTGGCGTGAGTTAGGTGAGAGCACAAGGGTGGGGACGTTGAATGAGGCAAGAAGATGACTCAAGGACAGATTGCTGAGAAGCTGAAGCGGTGCACTGTCACTCTCGTGCACACATTTGAGGACCAGTGGTTGGTGCAGCTAGTGCCAGTGAAAATAACTACGATATTGATTTAAATATTGTCAGCACGTATAGCAAATCACTTAACTAAATGCTACGACGAAAACTTCGTATGTCTCCTTGAATCTACCAAACAAACGCCATCACGAAAGTGGGAATAGATAGAAACAAAATCCCCCGCCCCTTTAGAGTACGAGACAGCCGTTAACTTGACCGAGTATCACACACCACTGCCAGTCGATATATGCACACGCTCCTGGAAAGCGATTGAGGTCATAACAATCGGTTCGTCGGCATCGGCAGCGAGCTTAGCGCGGTATTCTCGAACACCAAGGATCAGGCGTGGTCCCAGCACAAACACCTGCACGACCCCCGAGATCTGAATAAGCCCCAAAACAATCTGAGCGCCCAGGGAATTGGACTATAGAAACGATAAATTGTGGTAGCGTGCATAGGCAAGTGAAAGATTGACATACCGTTGAGAATGTTGGACTGAAATCAGCAGTGAGCTCGAAGCAAGAAACAGCAACAAAGCTATCATGTCAGACACTTCAGTGGTAAAAAGGAACAATAATCACAGAATGAGCTTACCTCGCAAAGTAAACCACATGAGTTTTTGTCAACACCGTGAAAACAGTCCTCGATAATCCCTCCTTCCGAATGTTGTCGCATTCCACGGAAGTGTTTTACCGCAATCCAGATTGCGAGACATAGTGTGAGGACCTCCCACGCGATGCCGAGTATCCAAGTAGCAGACATAAGAAGTAGGATATCTTCCGGATAGTCAATCTGGCACTCATAAGTGCCGGAGAGAATGAATTCCTCTGGTATTGATCAATGAGCCCCATGCACATTTATTTTCATCCACAATTGAGCTCACCCCCTGAAACTTGCATTGTCGTCATTACGGTGGCGACTCCGTCAAAAATGCTGACAGCCAGGAAGGTGACAATGAGAATTATCAGGATTTTTCTGGATCGCTGATACATGGCATACAACCGAGTGATTATGATGACTTGCAGCATGTTTTAGTCAGGTCAATATCACTGAGGTCTCGCAAGTGCCAAGCTTACTCCACAGCATTACAGATGCCACAACAACTGTCCAATTCCACACGTTGTACGAAATTAAGCCTGACCAGTCCAGTGAGTGACTAGCCTAGGGTAGCGCACACTCCAAACAGACTCACATCTGTGGCAGTATAGCACAGCAGTCGTTAGTGAACCAATAAGTCAGTAAAGAATCACACCCACACCTACAGGGCACTACGGTTAATTGGAGGGAATGGCAGTGATATGTGCAGAAGACTCACTGTATCTGACAGCAAGATGGTCGGAACACTCCCTGAATGCCACTGATCAGAAGAAGTGAAGAGAACGAATGTACTGAGACATACCCAACATGTACATGCTGATTATGAGAGATAGACAATTAGCACGACACCGATTGTGTAGCCTTCCGAACATACGCAGCAGATAAGATTCCAAGGTAGCGCACCTAAAAAATCTCAAGTCAGCACAACATGGAAACCGCGACAAATAAGGTACATACACCGAGATACAGAAACGTCATTAGGGACCAACGTTGCCTCTGGAATCAAATAAATTGACATGTGTTTCTCTGACACTAGACATCACTCACCCAGATCAGTTCCACCTATAAAACCATTGTCAGCGAGATAGCTGCTCCAGTCGTAGCATCGACATACCTCTTGTCCAAATGTAAGTGCTGAAAGTACTTGTAAAAATCGGCAGTCCTTGGATATCATCATGCTCACCCCAATCATATGTAACTCCCATGAAGGCGGCAACTGCGAGACCGCAGTAGAGGTTAGATTGAGGCATTGGCAGCATCAAATCCGACTGCTCTCTACGAACCGATAAAATAGCTAAAAAAACGATATGCACTGATGGTCGGCCACCAAGCAGGATCATCTGAGACTATAGTCATTGGTAGAGAATTGGTGTGGGTGAGAGGCGAACTTAGTGGACGTATGACAATGACATTCGTGCTAGATATGCCACAATCATGTGTTTGCAATACCGAAATGAGATCCGCTCCTGCATGGATTACCCCGAAGTAGTAAGTATTTTCAAATGAAGAAAGATGAACTCAATCCGGGCGCTCAGCGTAGATGTTGGTTGCCAAGCAGTTGCAAGGGCGGAATACTTGAACGCTGCAAGAGATTGAAGAACTTCAACATACATGCGCACCTTCTTGCTCCCTGCCTCAACATCGGACTTTGGTTTCATAGGGATGCCAAAAATTGACAGTACAGAATCTTTGATTTGCAATGTGATGTTGGTGCAGTGGTGACAGGCATCAGTTTGCACAGCCAGAGACAAACTAATTGAGCGCTGTATGTATCCGTTTGCACAGCCTGATACATCCTGATTGAGCATCCATGATTGAAGATACAATGCTACCTCTAGATTCAGACAGCGCTGAGGGGATACGGAAAAGAAGTCTCGGACGCACTGTTATGACTGCATGAAGCCTAGTTTATTACTCTTCAAACTGTACCAGCTGATGTCGTAAAACCTGTTCGACGAGCCTCAATCCTTGGGTACTTTATTGTACAATAACTCACCTCGGCCACGCCGCTGCCAAGGCACGGCCCTCTACGCTAAATTAAAAATCCAATGCACAACTTTGCCTAACAACGGCCTCGGTGCGATGTGACCTTCCCAATGACTTTCGATGGGCATCAGTCTCTGCTTCGTAGGCCTGAACGTGACAGCACCTCCGGCGCGTTCAATATAAGGTTAGAGTGTAAAACAAGGAGAGTCTAAACGAAGCAGACAGAAAACTCACCTGTACAGCCCCTTCAAGCACACCTTTCAATGCCCCTGCTCCTCCGTTTCCTAAGCACGTGCCACCACCTCATCTTTAGCCCTTCACCTCGGTCGTTGTCTATTTATAGCATAATAATGTCATTAAACGTACGATAAGGACTGAACTGATACAGGGTGCACCGCGCTCGATTTGCATCAAATTCAAGATCCGTATTTGACGTGCGGAGAATATAAATCCATCCAAACAGGAATGAGAGGGCACAGGGAGGAAAGAGTGGCCCTTACGCCACAGAAAGTTGGCAAGCCAGCATAGAAGTTAGAAATGAAGTAACTACCACAAAGTCATGATCAACTCACCTCCGGGCTGCAAATGCACAACCCTCAACGTTCACCATTTAATCCCATGCGCTGCTTTCCTCATTTCACTCAAATCTTCACTCCGGGGATTGATCGCCACATGCACAGCTGTGCTCGTCACTTAGAGGAGTACCACCCCTGAACGGCACCTTAGGAAGATCCATCGATTGCACTATATCGGAATTAGGATAGTGCATATTTTCATCAAAGTGGCACTGATAACTCACCACATTGTACATTCTCATTCCTGTAATACTATTGATGGTAATCGCCGATGTGGCAAATGCCAAAAGATCGTGAGCAGGACTTTTAGTTCGCGCTGTTTGATGCACAGCTGAGTTTTGAATAAATATTAGCTTTCAAGCTAGCACAAAATGGCGACCGCGACAAGTAAGCTATATGCACCGATATACAGAATTGTCATTGCAGACCAGCGTTGTCTCCGGAATCAAGTGCATCTTCATATATGTTCCTCTGATACTCACCCAGATCAGTTCCACCTATCAAGCCATTCTCAGCAAGGTGACTGCTCCGGTCATAGCATTGGCATACCTCTTGTCCAAATGTAAGTGCTGAAGATACTTGTAAGATATCGACGGTCTTTCAATGTTATCGCATTGATGATCGACCGCCAAGTGGAATCATTTGAGACTATGGTTATAGTGGTAGGTGGATGAAAGGCGACCTTGGTGGACGTATGGTGACGATGGCATTCGTGCTCATTGCTAGTTATACCATCATCCAGTGTTTGGGTCACGGAAACGGGATTGAAGGATGATGACCGTCCCTGCTCTGAGTGCCCGAAGTAGATATTTTTGCGTGAAGAAAGATAAATCAATCCAGGGGATCATAGTGGATATTGGTCATGGAATATTTATACGAGCGACACACTTGAACCGAGCTTGGTCGGAACACCGCATAAGATCGATCAATATCAAGAACTGTTCGCAATCTTGTCGCCCTGTTTCCAATGCTATTCTCGAAATGTTTTTGATACACGTACATCAGTCCATTAATGCAACCAAGTACTACCTCATCTGTTTGACACATGATGATTATGGTGCGACCATCGAAAAGCCTCTCATCTCTTCTTTCCTCGCCTCGCCAGCACAGGCCCGTGGAGCGTGAAAGCTCATTCAAGTCATTCAACAAATGCGCATTGCGTCAGCTGGATGACACCGGATCAGAAAAGTCAGCCGTCAAGAATAGGAAGACTTACCCTGGCTACCGAGAGCTCGGAACTCCGACTGACGATCAAGATTCGAGACTTGAGAGTTCTTGTAGCGTTAGTGCCCTTGCATGCCAAGAGAGCCGGTTCTGTATGAGTTTGCTTGATGAAAAATAATCGAAAAGGGATCCTAGGATGCTCACTGCGAATGTAAATTTGCTGTGAACAAGTTGTCGAGCAGCTGTACGATTTCATCAGATGGCCTTAGTTCGACTTTGAAAGAGTGGGATGCCATGGCTGAGGCCTGAGGACTGAGTATTTACTTCAATTTGAAGCACTGCGGGATGCTGCAGGTGAGGACCGTGCAAATCAATACAATATCGCACTAGTCGTTAGTAGCTGGTTTATGGTGATAAAGCGGGCATGGGCATTTTGGAACAAGAATATATCAGACGAGCACCCTGAGCGCGAACCTAGACTCGTGACCGAGAGGATGGCTGTAAGGTCAAGTCGACTTGATAGGATGCGTGGAAGCTCACGTTTTTCCAACCCCGGTTTATTATGTAACCGCTAGGAACTTTGTCTCCTCCGTGTTCACTCGGATCAGTCTCGTTACCGGTATTACACTCCTTTGCCAAGTCTTGCACCCCACACTCATAGGAGCGCCTTTATCTTACGGTTCGCACCTGTATTACTCTGCAACAATTATCAGGTCTACGGTGGACGAAATTCAGAGCAGCCGGCTTGTTCAGCTCTAGTTGCGCGGTGAGTGCGTGCCGCATGGTTTGACATATTTACTTTCTTTATTAGTATTAAGTGTGGGCTCAATGTTCAACGTTCCTCACCCATGGGTAATAAAGATAGCAATCTCAAATCAAACGAGCTATGTTTTTGAGGCCCATTCCCTAATAATGGGCGTCCCAGTTATCTCTTTTGTGCTCTTGTTACTAATCAGCTGGTTGTGACTGAAGAGTCTTATTACGAGCCATGTTCTCTTCGTATGAGCTATCCCGATGGTCTGAGCTTTGACCATCTGTCAGTACATTGAATCTCTGCTTAGACCTCCATAAACCTCTTTGGCTGGCAATGCCGAGGACAATCAACAGGCGCTGGCGCTGAGAGACAAAGTGCTCAGCATATGGTTGCTGTCGGCGCTCTCATCCTAAAATCACTCTACATACTTGGTAAGGCTTGCACATTTTGACGTGGATGACCATTACGTTTATTTTTCTCCGGTTATTCTGCAGGGAACACCGTGTTGTACGTACTCTCCATCTAGCCAACAGATGCCCTTTTAGCGACAGTGGTGGACCACAGCTGTAGTGTCAGCGGAACAATGTCTTATGTCTCATACTGTTCACAAGGGAGCTGCCGATCGAGTCAATGATGCCATGACCTCCATAAGTGGAACACTCACCCAAAAAAAAACACCGGAGGACCTGTGTATCCGTATATTCATGTGGGATTGGCTATATAAAAGAGGTATTGTGCTTGAGCACCAACACAACTTTCAATCATGCATCGTGTTTTTGAATGCGACGATATCATTTATGCCGTGTTGCAACACGTCAAGTCCTCTGCGACGGACTTGGTGAACGTGGCGATGACATGCTCCAGGCTGGCGGATCCCGTCCTCAATATCCTCTGGTCTGAACAGTCAAGTTTGGCACCCCTCATCATGTGTCTACCGCAAGACACCTGGGAGGTCACGGAGAACGGGGTGGATCATACTGTTGTAAGTGAAGTACAATATTCGAGTCTTGAAAGGACAATGCTCACTGTGCTTCGATTTGTAGCATTTTTCCAGAGAGCCAACTCCCATTGAGTGGGAGCGCCTCAGAATGAACGCATCAAGAGTGCGCCGGCTTGTTAGCACCCATGGCTTCACTGACGTGTTGAAGCCACGTCGCATTGAACCGTCGTTTATCCCGGACCCAGATGTCAGTGATCATGTTCTGCAGAGGCTTTTTGCTTGGTACCGTCCCGCCACACTCTTCCCAAACCTTTGCGAATTGCATTTCGAGGCTGTGTTTGGTCTTCTGGAACATAGCTCAAAATTCTGGCTGCTTCGGCAGTTCATTTCGCCTGGATTGCAAGCGCTCCGGTTTGATGTAACCGGTATCCCAACGCATGAAGTAGAGCAATTGCTCGCTGCTCTTCCCGCAGAAGCGCACGGTCTGCGCCAACTGACAGTGTCGGCAGGCAATGGTACTACGGCTTTGACAGTCCCCTCGAGTCTTGGAAAGCTGCCAAAGTTAATTGGACTGGCCATTTTCGGAATCGATGTGTGCTTGACGAGGCAGACGATAGCCAATATCCAGCAAGCACGGTGTCTTCAAAGCCTCAAGCTTAAATTGTGCGGAACCTCCTGCGATGCGGGCGGTATACCCCTTGAATTGCCTAGTCTCAAAACCCTCTATCTCTCTGATGGTTCCTTGTCACAGTGCACACACTTACTTCGTCAAGTCACCACCCGACAACTATCACACATCAATATCAGGTACTGCGGGTCTGCTAGCCCGGCCGAAATGACCGCGTTCATAGAATCCTTGTCCACTTCGTGCCAAACTTTTGGACATTTGGAACGGATCTATTTGGTCGACGAATCAACACATCCTGATTATCTGCTCGTCATCCCACTCTCCTCCGAAATCTTCCGACCCTTGTTCAAGTTCAACAGGCTGTCGTCTGTTAAATTCATCGGCGTTGGAAATTTCAACCTGGACGATGGGTTCCTCAATGATGTCCCAGTTGCCTGGCCGAGTATTTGCGAATTGAAGTTCACCTCCTGGAAGAGACGTGCATTTTATAGCGTCACCTTCACCGCTATGATGTCACTGGCGTTAAGATGCAGATCGCTGCAGACCCTACATCTGACAGTCGATGCTACGCAATCGACGACAATCCCTCGAGCGGACGGGACCGAGGAGCTTTGGCCTACGCAAACCGCCCTTCGCAACCTCCATCTCGGGTACTCCGAGGTATCGGAGGTTGCTCGCGTACCGTATTTCCTAGCTGAGGTATTTCCAACTCTATTGAATTTCAAATGGTATGCCTGTCACTTTGGGGATTCCGATGTCGATATTGCTATGGAATCAGCACTGTATGACGCATCGCAACAACTACGGGCGCTTCGGAACTCGACTGACGACGACGATTCTGATGAGCGATGGGAGAAGGATTCAGACGACAGTTGGGCGTGGTGAGGAGTGGAGGTTCCATCGTAACGCAATCGATGTTATATTTATACTAGAGTGATATAGCTGCTGTATACATCTCATGCCTGTATTCCCGGTGATGGTGTATGCTTGAAAGCAACAACACCTCGAAAAATGTAAATCGCGCTGTGGTTCGCGGTTTATTGCATCTGATAACCACCGCTCATTCATTATAAGTCGTATCGTTTCACTAGGCATATGCTGAGAATTGCGGTTGTGATATACCATGTACTCAAGATCTTTCGTTCGCGCCAGACGTATGAGAAGTCCTGTCTGTAAAGTCGCCTCTTTGCCGTTCAACAAGGCAATGCCGTCATGGAGAGGGCGATGCGAGCTTAGTGCACGATGCAGCCCGACAATTCAAGCAAGACGGCCGGATCAAGCAGAAGCGCGGCTCCTTGATTCTAAATCGAACGACTAGGAGCTTAGGCCTAGGATAACTCGGAGTCTATTTGGTCATTACGACCAAACCACGTCTCCGAACGTCCCATTGGTGAGAACCACTCTCCAATAAAAGTATATCCACCGCGACGGTCTGCAGAGGAGGAAATTCAGGAATCACGAAAGTGGAGCATGTGAGAGGACATATATTGTTGCAGATAGGAGTAGGTCTGAATCAATCAAATGGTAGTAAGTAGATGATATCGGTGAAGGACGTGTAAGTGAGAGAGTTGAATCTGCTGAACTCCGGCTAATGACACTAACTGAAGAGGTGATGAAGCTAATGGTGTGGTGGAAGGAGTATCCCAGCGCTCACTCTCTGAACGAAGGATTTTGCCCTTGCCGCTGAGCCTGGAAAAGCGCACCGACAGTGGTGCATGATGTGGAGCGGTCGGGTACTATTTCAAGGACGAGTAGCCAAATCCATGCCAGAGCGTATTGAAAACGGATCATGGAAGAAGCGACTTCATTATTTGGTGCCCTGACCGTCGAGGAAAACTGGAAGAACCTGGATGCGCACAATACCTGCATTGAATTTGCAGCAAGTCGACGACTCGTCAAAGGTGGTACAACCAGGTGAGAACCCGGAGCGAGCTGATAAAATTGGTCGAGATGGCGGTATCTCCAAACGAGAAAATGTCGGTAGGCCGTCCTATCGTTCACAGACCAAGATCCGGAACAGCTTGGCTGAATGGGCCAGCCTGAGGATGTGGTGCCTTGAGTATGACACGTTGACGAGAAGTCGTGTGGACCAGTCCTAATGCACTTCTTGTCCAAGGCTACCTCCGAATCATTGTTAGTTACTCAGGTGAAGACAGTAAGTAGTAGAGGTGTTACTAGGGACCAAGTTAAGATTCATCCAATCCGGAAACACCCGGGCTTGGGTACTTCACTTCAAACTACTGGATCAATCGATCACCGGTCACCCTCAATGTGCTAGTACCTCACAATGCTGACATTGGGTACACTCCGACATGCGGTATCCTTGATGGAAAATCAGGATTCTGCGTCTTCAGGCCAACTTGTTGCAGAACAAGTGAAAGAAGCTGCACCTATCACTGGGTGCACAACATCGTTTACCTGGCTATGGCCTCGCGCCTGGCATGGCGTGATCACTGATGTCTTACTAGTAGAGGAAGATATGGTCTGCGCTCGAAGTCTCAACTACTGCAGATCGTAGGCCGTGAAGTCTTCCGGGATCTTTGAATGATCAGACCACGTTATCTGATGGCAATGGCAATGATTACTGGTGAGTCCAGGGGCCTATCTCCTTATTTGATGCTTATCAGAATCACACAAGCTGTGGCTCACAAGACTGTGCTTACAGGAATCTGAAATCGCTGGTGGGCAAGTTGTCAACTTTAACCGCATAGAGTATCACTCATGGGAGGCACTGTTAGGAGGAGCACAATCACTAGCGATCAATGAGTGTCTGCTTTGGAGTCGAGGAAGCTGGGCAGTCGTTCGTTCATGCCGTTTTTAAAGCTGTGTTCCATCCGATGATCGTTTCACAGCATGACCTTCCTGTGTTGCCGAAGCGTTCACATATGCAGCCGAGCTCCTCACCAGCCGTGCAGCTTCTGCTTCTTTCCACGATTCTAATATACTTGGTTTTCTCTCTCAATTTGGCGAGCTTCGCGTCCCGCTTCCTCTTCCTCGGCAGCTCTTTGATGTCCAACCACATGGTGGTGAATTTCATTACCCGTAAGGAGCCGATCAGAGAACATGGGTCACAAAATCACAATAGACTACATGCCAACAAGTGAACTTTTGTAGTGTGTTTCGCGATCGTAAGCGCTGCGAAGTGCATGCTCCTTGGCTGATTCGGGTTCTGTCTTTATTAGGTCATACTTTCGTAACTCGTTTACGTGTTGGCGTAATAGGCATCGAGATGAATGCGGAGAGACTGGGTGGATCGTACTGGGAACGAACCTGTCGCAGGGCCTGAACTGTTTTCTGATGGTGTCTTGACAAATGGATCATGTGAGTTGTGTTCCATAAGCTTCAGGTATCGTTGAATACTTGCGAGCACCTTTACAGGACTAGTCTGTCTCCAAGCTGGGAGCCATCATTTCCTTTGTGGGTTTTTTCCAGCTCATTAATCATGATGAGATGCAGCTTTCGGGAGCAGTTTCAATCTTGCTACAATGACTTCTACTCGATTTCCCCGTCAAGTCGGCCTCTCGGTGAGTTTCGTAGATCGTATTGCCTCATCTGATCCTCAACTAAGGCTAGTATGGTTGACATCCTGTGCAGAAGTTTTGCATCGTATCATTTAGGAATTTCTATCTGGTCCGACGGCTCACTCCGGACTACGTATCGTTAACGTTGGTCCCATATTATTAGTTCAAGCTCTCAGGCCCAGCCAGGAACTGCCATGTCAGCTGTTCTAGTGAGCTGCGGAATGAGTGCGGACCTGGGACGACGCATTTAGGACGAGTTACGACTCAGTACTCATGACTCGTACAGCAACTGCGGAAGCGCCGCGTACCCACGGTCAGTTTGCAACTATAAGAACCTGCCCTTTGACGATTCACTTCTCTTCCCATACAATCACAACATCATAAACTTTTCTCAACAGTAATCATGAGCAACCCTTCACGCGGCAGAGGTGGTCCCCGAGGCGGCTACCCTGGTGGCCCTCAAGGGGGTGCTGGTGGGTTCAGTGGAGGAAGAGGCTCTAGTGCGAGGGGCGGATATGGCGGTGGTTCCAGAGGGGGAGTACCAGGAGATTTGATCTTCCGGGGCCCTGCATCTGTAGACCAACGTCTCGCTACCTTGGATGAACTAGTCTCTTCCTTCAATAAACTTACCTTCAACCCTGAGCGCCCTCACCGACCTGGCTTTGGTACCCTTGGCCGTCAAATCACACTGCGTGCCAATTTCTTTCCTATTAAGCTTCCCAAAGGACCCATTCACGACTATCATGTCGAGATTACGCCGTCCACAGACATTAAGCGTATTCGTGCACGTCTTTTCAAGCTCCTAGAACAAAGTAATCAACAAGACTGGGAACAGTTTGTGCCGTTCATCTATCATGACAGCAGTCAGAGGCTTGTGTCGGCCAAGAAGTTGCCTCAGCCCCTTGACGTGCAAGTTCAGTATTATGAGGAAGGAGAAGCTGGTCCCAATGCTAGATCCAAGACGTATACTTTCGCAATCATCCATACGGCCGACTTGGATATCGCACAGCTCACTAAGTAAGTTATGGAAAGCTGCTTCATTTGTTTTCGCGTTAATTTATGGTGTGTAGGTATCTCAGTGGCGATATCAAGTCACGGGACTACGACGTCCAGCCAGTGGTATCTGCTGTGAACCTCGTGCTTCAAACGCATGCAACGCGCACCGGTGTTCGTGTTGGCCAGAATCGCTACTTCTTTCCTTCGCAAGAGCGGTTTGAGCTCGCGCTTGGCATAGAGGCCGTGAAAGGCTTCTTCACGTCTGCCAGACCTACATATAACGAACTCATGGTAAACGTCGGTGTCTGTATGACTGCCTTCTACAAACCAGGCAATCTTGCAGACGCCATCATGGCGTTCCAGCGATCTTCCGATGGCGCCATGCCGCAACGGTTTACCCAGAAGCTTAAGGTGACCACTAGACACCTAGGGTACACTCAAAAGAAGCCGATCAAGAAGATCATGCCAACAAGTGCCAGACGGACTTTGTTCCACTGCGAAGAATACGGCAAGATATCTGTTGAAGAGTATTTCAGGAAAAGTTCGTTTATCTTTATCACGTTCTTTATTCGCTTGCTAATTTCCAGCAGAGTACCCCCATATCACGCTGAGGCATGCAGACGACCTTCCAGTCGTCGACATCTCAGGTCCGAATTCGAAATTCTCCATATACGTCCCAGCCGAACTATGCGAAATCGAGCCCGGACAACCATTCAGAGGGCGTCTCAATGATAAAGAAACTTCAAACATGATTCGGTTCGCCTGCAATCCGCCAAAAATCAATGCAGATGCGATCATTGGAAACGGTCTCCCCACTCTTGGGTTTACTCCCGGGACGCTGGGAAGTCCTCTGAGCGGCTTCGGTATTACGGTGGACAACAACATGGCGGTCGTTCCTGGACGTGAACTCCCACCGCCTCGCCTCACTTACGAAGCAGGGGGAAGGCCGCTTAACGTCAGCAACGGCAGTTGGAACATTCTCGACGTCAAGTTTCATAACGGCGGGGCCATCAAGAGCTGGTGGGTGATGGTCATTACAGAGAAAGACGGACGAAGTGTGTTCAGCGGGGCCGACGATCCGAATCTGACTGGTCTTTGGAGAGGCTTTAGCGAGAAATGCCGCAAAAGCGGAATTTCACTGGGATCACAACCTGTCAAGCTTGCCCAATCGCTCGTCTCTCGCGCTGAAGACCCTAGCAGGCAGCAAGCGTTAGACTCGATTCGTCAGAAGATCAAGGAGAATATTGTCGAGAGAGGAAAACCGTCATTTATACTCGTCCTTCTCTCTCGCCGGGACAACTTCATTTATCCGGGCATCAAACGGATTTGTGACGTCGAATTGGGTGTTCACACCATACATATGCTTACAGACAAGGTGGTAGGAAAGGATCCCAATAAACAAGATCAATACTTCTCAAACGTCGCTCTCAAGTTGAACACGAAACTCGGAGGTATCAATCATGTGCTGGATTCGGACAGCTTGAAATGGTTGACGAAGGCCAAGACGATGGTTGTGGGCATGGACGTTACGCACCCCGGCCCTGGCAGTATTGAAGGCACACCATCAATTGCCGCTGTTGTTGCGAGCGTTGATAGTTCTTTCGTCCAATTTCCGGCAAGTCTCAGGTGTCAGGAGACCAAGAAAGAGGTAAGCTATGTTTCAATGTTATCGCCCTGATTCTCATCCTTCTTTGCAGATGATTACGGATTTGGCTGATATGATGATAGACCGGCTCAGATTGTACGCGGAGAAGAACCAAAGCCTACCAGATCGAGTCTTTGTTTACAGGGACGGTGTTTCTGAAGTGAGATAGGTTCTCCTTACAATCTTGAATTCGCTTGCTAATATCGAACGGACAGGGTCAATTCAATACCGTCTTGGAAGAAGAGCTTCCTAAGATCCTGGAAGCATTCAAGAGAGTCCCGCAGAGGAGGCCGTATCGTCCGTTGTTAACGATTATCATTTGTGGAAAGCGACACCATGCCAAGTTTTGGCCGACCGACTCTCAGTTTGCGGACCGGAACGGTAACACTCGTCCAGGAACCGTCGTCGATAGAGGCGTCACTGCAGTGTAAGGCCCTTTTATTTGACTACAGGTTGATTGTTCTTACATTTGATTACCCTAGGTTTGACTTCGATTTTTACCTTCAACCTCATGTTGGCTTGCAAGGTCATGTGAAGGCGACACACTACACTGTGGTGTATGACGAGAATCGCCTCGGCGCGGATGAACTGCAGCAGGGCACCCACACTGCAAGTTACCTGTACGCTCGTGCTACTAAGGCTGTAAGTCTCGTCCCGGCCGCGTACTACGCCGACTTGGCATGCGAGAGAGGGAGATGTTACTTGAACGACTTCTTGAGTACCGATGATAAGATGTCAAGCTCTGTCGTATCAGGGAAAGGAAGGGGGAAGGGAAAGGCAGACAAGGAGGAAGAGAAACTACGGGTGTTTAAAGAGGCAAAGAAAGCATGGGGAGAGGGTGTGCACCCTGACTTGCGGGAGAGTATGTTTTATATCTGACCTAGTAGCTACTGCGACTTGTATTTGACCTTCTTTTCGTATTTGTCATGTGATTCCTAGCTATACACCGTGGCTGTGGCGTTGACTATTTACTTAAAAATACTACCACAACAACATATATATTTCTAAAACCCAACTGCCCGACGAGGTCTCCCGTCCTCAGACCTCGATAGTGGTTCCTGAGAAGTTTCATCTCAAGGGGGTGTCCGATACGTACATAAGTGCTTCCGACAGTACCGACGACCATATCTACATATCAATGCCAATTAGACGCTCTTTGGGGTATTTATATTCCCCATGCATCTCCATGAATGGTCGTGTTATCGTCGACTACTTGGACACTCGCGATGGCAACTTTCGCCACATCCTCCTTTGACAACACCATCTACGCGACTTTCAGGCCGACCTACCCCGGGCCCAGGTCCCTGTTTAACTTCATATTCCGGTACCACGAGCGCAATGAGGGTGCAATATGGGATAGAGCAGTGGACCTTGGTTGTGGAACGGGTTAGTTCTAGCTAAACTCTATTTGTCTTGACCTAAGTATGTCGATGATTCGGGATTCCAGGTCAAGCAACTGTCGAACTCACACCCTTCAAGCGCGTCACTGGCATCGACCCAAGTTGTAAGATGATCGAAGTTGCTCAAGATGCCCTCCAGAAAACCGCCCGAGTGCACTGGTCAATATGAGTACATACAGGCGAGCGCAGAGAGTCTAACATTCTTGGAGGATAGCAGTGTGGATCTAGTCATTTCCGGTGCGTGTGCTAGAAAGGCAAGGAGGAACTACTGGTACTATTTGTTCATACTACCTGTGTGGTTGTAGCCGAGGCATGCCATTGGTTCGATTAGAACAAACATGGCCTGAGCTTGCAAGAGTGCTGAGGAAGAATGGGAGTGTTACATTTCTGGGTACGTGTTCCCATCTCCGAGCTACTACTTGTCCAGTCAATCTTGCTTGATTTAGAGTTACTCCTAGTTCCGCTTCGCCCACTATCCCTCACTCACACAGAGAATTAAGACTTATAACAAAGGCACTGACCCACTGAACAGCATTTGTCCATACTGGGAGCAACCCGGCCGTTTTATTTTAGATAACCACTTGATTGAAGTGCCAGATGGCAATGAAGTTGTACCTGGTGCGTTCAGTGATTCCGAGGGAGTCTTCTTCACAGGTCTGTTTTTGATCTACCATTACGTGACACTGCACTAATGCATTCCAGGCGACTACTACCCATCCCTCCCTTCTCCACGCTCGGTGATAATGCGCAAGAAGACGACGTGGGATGACCTGCTATCTTGTCTTAATACGGGGAGCTCGTTGCACACGTTCCGTCAGCATAACCACACGGATGGGGAAAACCCGCGTGGAGATGTTGCAATGCGGTTCTGGAAAGATCTTAAGGAGGGTGCCGAGCGGGAGGATGGGAGACCCGTGGAAGGACATGATGAAGTAGACGTCGAATGGCCGCTGGCAATGATAATGGTCAAGAGGTTGTAATAATCCTAGCGGTAGGTATTCTTTCGTTGGCGACTTGCAGATCATCTAACTAGACCATCTAGGCAACTGGCAATACCATGGTTCAGAAGGCTAGCGAGGCTGTTATGTTTCCAAAGTCAGTTTATCAAATGTAGTACGAAAAGAACCCACAGGCTTGGACTTGTCACTACGCTATCACTGCAAAGTCTCGTCGGAGTAGTTCCCTTGGCTGCAGTGAGACCCTCGGGCCTCTGCGACGAACCAACTGTATCATAATCAACATGGTAACCATATCAGCATGTTCAAGTTTTTTGAGCGCAATTCTGTCATCTGTGTTCCAGGCTTATACATACTCTGTCCGAGGTGGTCCGGTTTTCTGGTTACTGAACTTTTTCATTCGTAGAATTCAGCCGATCATTGACACTAGAGGAAAGGGCGGCATACCGACACAATGTACCTTTGTTGAGTGACATTGGAGGAGCTGTCATGCTCCCGGGCCTGTACCGGCAAGGCGCAGAGAGTAGACGATGGGCTTTCGATGCTCACATTCAGTAACAAAGTGACGAAATATATTTTGCGGTCTTCATCCGCTTGTGCTTATGTCTCGTCTACTTTGATTCAATTGAAAGCTTCTGAATTTTCTTCGTGCAAATATACATGTTCTTATTTTGGTCAAAGTAGGGACGGATATCATCCATCGATCTCATTTCGCTGATCCAAGCTAGCCAGACCTGTGTCTCCTTGAAATCGAAACTAAATAAATAAACCATCACCATCACAAAAGTGAGAATAAATAAAGTGAAATCCCCTACTCCTTCGGAGCACTAGACAACCGTTAACTTCACCAAGCATCACACACCACTTCCAGTCGATATATGCACACGCTCTTGAAAAGCGATTGAGGTCATACCAGTTGCTGCGTCGGAGTCGGCCACGAGCTTAGCGTGATATTCTCGAAGACTAAGGATCAGGCGCGGTCCGAGCACAAACATCTGCACGACCGAGAAAATATGAAGAAACCCAACATAAAGCTGAGCGTCCACGGAATCTTCCTATAGAAACGATAGAATGTGGTAGCATGCAGAGGTAAGTGAAAATTTGACATACTGCCAAGGGTATTGATGAGAAATCAATGATGAGCTGCAAGCAAGAAACAGCAACAAAACTAGCATGTCCTATCCTTCAGCAAAAAAGGGAAGCACGTTCACAATACGAGCTCACCTCGCAAAGTAAAGCACGTGAGTTTTCATCAACACCGTGAAACAGTCCTCGATAATTCTTCCCGCCGAATGTTGTCGCAATTCACGGAAGCGTTTTGCAGCAATCCAGACTGCGAGACACAGTGTGAGGAACTCCCATATAGTGGTGAGTATCCAATTAACAGAATCCAGAAGTGAATCTTCCGCATAGCGAATCAAGCACTGATTAGTGCCGGAGAGAACGAGTATCTCTGTTATTCATTAATGAGTTCCAAGCACATTTATTTTCATCCGCAATTAAGCGTACCCGTTGAAGCATGTAGAGTTATCATCAAGGTGACCACTCCGGTTAAAATGTTCATAGCCAGGAAGGTGACCATGAGAAATATCAAGATCTTTCTGGATCGTTGATACATGACATGTAACCGAGTCATGATGATGACTTGCAACATGTTTCAGTCCAGTCAACATCACTGAGGTCTCGCAAGTGCCAAGCTCACCCCACAGCATTGCAAATACAAAAACACTCATCCAATTCCGTACGGTGTACACGATGAAGCCTGACGAATCCAGTCAGCGACTAGCCTCGGGTAGAACACACTCCAAACAGACTTACACCTGCGATCACATAGGGTGGCAGTCATTAGTGAACGAAGAAGTTAGTAAAGAACCACGCCTACTCCTACAGGACACTGCGGTTAATTATGGGGGAATAGGCATCTGTGCAGAAGACTCACTGTATCTGTCAACGAGAAGGACTGGATACTACCTGTATGCCGTTGATCAGAAGAAGTAAACACAGCGAAGGTACTAAGGGGACATACCCAGCATGATCATCCTAATTATGAGAGAAAAACGATTAGTACAACACCATTATTTAGCCCTACAAACATACCCAGCAAATAAGATTCCAAGGTAGCGCACCTAAGATACTTTCAAGTCAGTACACCATGGCAACCACAACAAACAACTCGAAGCTACACACACTGAGATACATAATCGTCATTATGGACCAGCGTTGCCTCTGTAATTAAGTCAATTTTCATGTATGTTCCTCTGACATGACACTCTACTCACCCATACTGATTCAACCTATAAAACCATTCTTAGCGAGATGGCTGCTACGGTCATAGCATTGACATACCTCTTGTCCGACTGTAAGTGCTGGAAATACTTGTAAGATATCAGCAGTCCTTGAATATTATCAAGTTCACCCCAATCATACGTCACTCCAATGAAGGCAGCAACTGCGAAACCGCAACCAAGGTTAGATTGAGACATCAGCTTCGACATCCGACTGCTCCACGAACATGCAAAATAGGTAAAAAGACGATATGCCTTGATGGTCGGCCACCAAGTGGGATCATTTGAGACTATGGTCATATTGGTAGAAAATGGGGGTGTGGGTGGGAGGTGAACCTGGTAGACCTATGGTGATGGGCCTGATGGCATATGTACCATCTTCTAATGCTTGTATCACTTGAACGCCGTAATTGATAACATATACAAGGTAAATTGTGTTGGCATGCCAAGGCCAGACCAACAATAAATCGTCAAAATAGGGGGAGATCTGCACAAAGCAAACAGACAACTCACATTCAAGTTCTACCCGTGTGCAGGCACATATATGAATGTCTACTATCCCTGCTCCTCATTATCAGGCCATCTGTCGCTTCATGAGCACCTGCTCGCTCCCCGCCTCGGTTTCGGGCTCCCATATCATGAGGTTGCCAACAATGATGAACGCAGAACCTTCGATCTGCATCGTGGAGTTGGTGCGGTACTGACAGGGCATCAGTTTCAAGTTGCACAGCCAAATATAGCTTAGTTAAGAATACAGTGAAGATACAATGAAATCCCTGAGAGAGGACGTGGAGAAAAGAAGACTCAAGCGCACTGCACTGACTTGTTGTTCTTCAATGAATTGTATGCCAGGCTCATTTCGTAAAAGTTGATCGGCAGCGCGGACTGTTATGTAAGTCGCAAGTAGCTGGACGGACTCTATCATATATGTTCAGCTCGTACTACGCATGAGTATCCAATGCCTTGATTCTCCGTTCCTTGCCATGGTGTGATTCATACTTGGTGCTAGCACACAAGGTTTTACTCTCCTTACTTCTTCCTAACCTCTACCGTTACTTATCGGATATGCTGTTCAACTATTCGACAAGGTATTATGGAAGGCTCGTAACGACGTACGAGAGGTATAACCCGCTTACCCTTTCTTGTGTACACAGATCGTAACGCTCTACGCATCAGCCAATGATTGAATCTTACTCTATCGACCAATCCTACCATATCACCCAATGACACTCACCAATTTATCATTCTGGACCCTGGTACACCACCTGGCAGTAATGAGTCCATCCACCTATCCGTGCGCAGTCTCTGCATTCTTACACTCACTCGCCGTCACATTCAAAGTCTTTCCGCATGCCAGATCTTGATCGTTAGTTGGAGTTTTGAGACCTTACCGACGTCCAACTTTGGCTTATGTCTGATATCGACGGTGTTCACGAAAAGCGCGAGGCAACAGATTGATATCAATTGCATGATAGAATCATTGTTGTACTTTTTGCATCGGTTTTCTGGATTACGCTTTAAAGGTGTGCAGGTGGTTGTATGACACAGGTGAGTTATTAAACAAACTTGTTAAAATATACTTTTCTGATGGCGTGTCAACAGAATGTTACTGCCTTCGATGCCCGGCCATTTTGAGACTCCCTAGATATAGACAATGGTGAGGTGGCGACAAGCATCAGGTTTCATCAGGGATATTCTAATACCACAATCAAAGATTCCACACTCGCCATTTTGGGCACCCTTATGATACTATGATGGTCTGATGAAGAGAGAAAGAGGGTTTGCATGAAGCGACAGACGGCCTGATGACGAGGAGCAAATAACTTGAATGTTGAGATATGTGTTCACACCCAGGTATGTTGACGTGAATTATTCTATCTGATTTGCGTGGATCTTACATATCTTTGACTGCCGAATTTCCTGGTCTGGTATTGACATGCCGACAGTGCCTATGTTGAGTGACCTTGAGGAGCTATTATACTCCCGGGCCTGTACCAGTGAGGCAGGAAGAGCGGAGACGATGGGCTTTTCGATGGTCATATTCGGTCCATAGTTTGTGGCTGGACATCGATTTGTATTGTGCTGGCAGGCGCACATCAGGCGACCGTTTCCTGGATGGGAGGTCAGAAGAAGGCAAAGCATTGAAGAGTGTATGTTGGCAGTCCAGACTCGAGAGGTTAGTTATACCATTCTGCTATTTCCTTCATTTCTGTTCCTACCTACACACATTTCTGCCTTACAAAAGCTAACAACTATACAAATGAAAACGCCGATACCGAACTGTAACTGTTCGTGCATGACATGCCGCAGCGATGGCAAGCTCATCACAGGTTCCACACGCCACCCATTCAAAATATTGACATGTCGACTGCGTGATGCATGATGCATGAAGTGTGGGGTGTTTAGCATCGGATTTTATCAGTCGCCCAGGCCCCTACTCTATCTCTGCATCCTTGTGACATTTCTATAGCTCTCTACCCTGATGTCCGAGGCAGAGAGCGAGGAGATACGCAATGCGCGTGAGTCGGACAATATACTGTTACATTCTCAGACTCGAGTCCCAAGTCTGAATGTTCATTTGGAAGAATGTGGCCATCAACTGTGAAATGAGCGTCAGAACAAAGAGTGTGCTTCCTACGGTCCTAGCGTGGGCGTCCAGGTTTCTTTTCTTTCTTTTCTACTTTTATCTATGTAGGGATGGACCTCTCATATCAATCACGGATTAGGATGGACCCGACTGCAGAAATGGATCACGATGCAACTTACTGAGTGCATTGTACTTTCCATCAGAATCTACGCTTATATCTTCATGATCTACTAATGGTGTGATGCGGCCCTGGTCGAGACAAACACAGAGCGAGAAGGTGCGCACGATAGATGTTTTGGATCACCCGCTACTTTGTATGTCTTAGCCAGTCTAGTGGAATTTAACTTTGGCCACAGTTTCGCAGTTGCCGCAGTTAATGCATAATTGGGTGAGCAAGTTAGCATTTCCGAGTGAACCGTATACCTTTAAGGAGATTGAGCTAGACTTAAGACTCTTCGACTAAAAGCATATTACAATTTCCGCTGACACTAAGGCTCTTCGACGACTATTCCAAATTCTATAGTAGTAGACCCCGAATCAATCGGTCGCGAGATGGTTTCATCATCTGCGAGCATGCGCAAGAAGAATGTAACAACCACACTTAAGTTCGCGACGATTAAAGATATAGATGCCTAACACGGGTGTCAATGAACCTGCTTGAACATTGAGTGCTGATACTGTACCTCGAACATGGCAGACACTGCCTCCTTTAACTCTCCCACAGTAAAAACGAAATATGCATGAGTGAGACTGACAACTGTGGTGATTGCTGATGTGGAGAAGAGGCAAATCACCCGGACTCTTTGCGCCGTCGTCAATGTGGCTCTGTAAATGATAAGAAATGGTGCCAAGATAAGGACAATGTCCCCTAAAACGTCGGCTGGAATAAGGTCAGAAAATGGATAGTTTGTATTAAATCCTGTTAACGTACTGACGATCTGTGCTATTGCGACATCTCTGCCGAGGGGGCACTGCGGACGTGGTAGTTGTTTCCAACTGGGATTCGATTCGCAGGTCCACCACACTTGTGCAAAAAGTATACCCCATACAACGCCAAAGATTATTGCGATGCAGATAAGTATCCTCCTCTGGGTTCCCCAGTATGCCAGACGCACAACGGTAAACAAAATGGATAACCGGGAACACCTATGCGCGTATGTCAGCCGTGACCTTGACATGCTCATAGCCACTGACCAAACAACTCCATAAAAGCATTGTGATAACCTTGATATAAGCAGTGTTAGTGTCTCTTGAGCATGGTACGTCGGAAAACGCACGTGTAGTAGAGTGCCACCTTTTCCCATTGAGGGTGAAACACTGTGCGTTTTTCAGGATGGTGTACCATCATCACACGCAGCAGACGCACCGTAGCCTCTCAGATACAAAGCACTGCAAATCATGAGGCCAATATTGAATAGCATGGCGCAGGCTGCCCATGCGTCATCGATCCACAGAAGACTTCGCCGTGCGCGACAGTACAAGCGGAAGGACGTGACGAAGGACGCCACAATGGGCAGGATATAGTTTACGACTTCGGGAATGCGTCAACAGCAACGAAGTTATCGAAGTTGACGAGCTTCTCACCTTGCGTCTGAGCAAGAGTTGGACCTGGCGACATCGAGTCTGAGGGAAATCTGCCTATCTCATCCTTTCTACTACTATATGCCCCCTGTCGATCAACTTTGTCGTGACACATGTAGATCACATGACTCTTTGTTGACATTTGTAGAATGTTGAAAAAATTCTTGAGATAAAAAGTGCGAAGACCGGAGTCATTAAGTTTTGGGGAATGCCGCTGGTTGGAGTCGGTAAGCCCCAACACAGTAATATTGAGACAATGTTAGGGGGCTCAGAGCTGCAGGTGATCATGACATAAATAAAAGAATTCAACGTGAGGACAAGTTGAACAACATGAAGATATAAATAATTAATCAATCGACCACGGCGGAGGTGACTCTTGTTTCTGTTTTTGTTTTGACCCTTGGATGGTTGCTTTTGAGTGCAGCGTTCCGTTACAAACCTTAAAGTTGACTGTAAAAAATTATTATAAGCTCGAACTTCAAAGCTTCAGGCACCACAGCCTAGCACGTGCCAATATTACTTGGCAATATTGTGTCATGACCGGAATGGTTCTTGAACTTCATCTGGAAATACGATGCGGATTGCTGGACGGCCACCAACTGCGGTCTAGATTCTAGAGTTATACTGTTAGAGGAGTGAGGGAGCGGTGAACTTGGGTGGCCATTCCGTACCTGCGTAGTTTGGTGCTTTGTGGACGAGGCGGGTAAACGAAGGGTAGGTAACATGCAAAACCATGATCGATGCATGATCGATGATCAGTACTGACCGTTGAACGATGGAACACTTATCTCTGCTCTATTTCGGCCTACACCTTGATGTGTATCAACCAAGGTATCTCATATCACCGCAACGCTTCCGATGCCTACGTGTGGAGCGTATGCGGACCGTCGTGAAAAAAGACCGTGGAACATTGCCAGGTGCACTTGAACGGAGATCGCGGCTGATAATTAGTTCTGTAAGTTTTCACTGGGAACAACAAGCGCACCACACCATCATCTCTTATCGTGCATATTACACTGGACCTCGCGATGAAATCTCATGGGAAATCATTCTAGTCATAGCATTGAGGATGAATAGCATTTAAATTCTCGGTAATAGAGCAGCATGTAGTACACATATATATGATTGTGGGTCTCCCCTTGAGCGACCGCAGACCTCTCCTGCTGTTCTTTGCCAATCATGAGCCTCAGCCGAGGCGATGCCTCCAGGACAAAATGACAACAGTCGAACAAGGCCACAGTTACAACAAAGGAAGACCAAGCACAGCGAGTGCTGTTCATTCGTCTAGAGGACGGGAACGCGGACGAGAAGGCGGAAGAGCTGATATCAGGCCCGAACTTTTGAGTCCTCAAAAATTGTTCATAAAAATCAACTAAGCGAAGAGAACGATTTTATATACGAAAACAGATTATATAATCTTTTGCCACGGGGTCATGCTCACGTGCAGGTGTACGGACTGCCGAGACTCAGCTGAAGCCTTCTATTGACAAATTGAGATAGACGATCCCATCGACCAGTCGACCAGACAGGATGTCGCGAGCTTCAAAACTGCATACACTTGCCAGACTCAACGATACTACACTCGGTTCTTTCTCAAATGTCCCATCGTCTGAGACATTAAATCATCTTGTGCGGTACCTCAGCACCTGGAGCGGTAGCGAGTAGGTTTTAACACTTCTTTGAGTTCAGTCATCTAATAGCCACTTCTTCCTTACTTCTCATCGCGTGTTCTAGCAAGTTCTTTACGGTGCATACTTACCCGTGATAGAACGGAATATCGATTGACCGCGTATTCAACAGCTCATACAATATACACTTAAACTGATAGTGCCATTCCTGCACTGGCGCGCACGGCTTCAGCACCGTGCCGGTATCAGGAAAGATGCGACGAGCAACGCTGCCCCTTCTCTGGCAAGTTTCACCAGTATTATTGGCGATGCTAGAATGCTGGGTAGATTTTGGGGTGAGTATCATGAATACCTTCTGCTTAGTGTGATGTCTTAACGCGATTTCAGGTCTTCTACCAATCTTTCAGTGGATGATTTCCATGGAGCGCAACCCCCCGCCAACTCGTACGTTGCACACTATTGAGCGACTTCAGGGATGGTCCATGCTTGGGTATTACCCCCTTGAACATCTTTATTACCTGCGAGCCCATGATCTGATTCCCACCTCGATTCCCGCGCTTTCCGCTATACTCGGTCGCAGCTCGAAACGCATTTCATTGAATGGGAACAAGTTAATCCTCTGGTCTTCCCGATTCTGGCTACTCTACGTCGTGCTTCAATTCGCCCACCTAAGAGAGGACAGAAAACTTCTGTTGACGAGGCAGAGGAATTTAAGAAAGGGGAAGGGGTTATCTGTTGAGGATAAAGAGGACCTCCGAAAGCGATGGGACTCTCTTGGGAATGAATTGGTGGCCAACGCTGCCAATTTACCCTTGGCCCTTCATTGGTTCGTCCTTGTTGTATGTATCACATGCATACTGATCGTTTGTCAGGTCTCTGGAGAGTGGTATCTTCGCAAATGATGTACGTTAATTTCAAGTGTGTACTTTGTGTTACTGACATGTTTTGCAGATTTGGGTCACCATTTTCAGCCTCATCAATGGGATTGCTACATTCAGAGGCGGCTGGAAAGCAACGGCTCTTCCCTCTGTCAAAGCCGTTGCATCCCCCGATCCCTCGAACACTACTGATACGGTGGAGGAAATCAAGTATTAGTGACTGAGTCATCTTTAACAGACTGCTCACTCGCTGTGACCCACACCACAACAGAGGCCTGATAGAATTATTGATATAATTTTTATCATTTTTAAGAGGTCTGTTCTGCAGTGTAGTGACATACCGCTATGAATAGACAAACTAGTAATGATGTGATTTATTATCAGCCAGTTTCAAACAGGATAAACAAATATTGTGGTAACCACCTGGCCATGACGTGTCCATGACGAATTGATTTCCAACCAAAGCATCTATGAGTGTCTCAAATAGGGACGGTAACTACAAGTGTGGAACAACTATCTACTTTTCATCAAGGATTGCCGTGTCCGGGGCAGTGTTCTTCAAAACGCCAAGAATGCAACGTGTGTTCATTATGCAGTGCAGACGACTTCGAGTGCTTCTGCATTGTATTCATTTTCCACGGAATTCAGGAAATCGACCATCTTCGCAATCAATGAATGTGAGATTCAAAACGTGCCATGCGTTCATGTCACCCACAAATTGGTGTCGCTTTGCGCCCATCTGTTTCCCTGGCTCTGTCTTTAGCCTTTCCTGGATGTGTAGGAGCTTGTCGTAAAAGTGCTGTACGGCAGTGTCAAGACGACCTGGAGGTGCATGCAGTGGGCTGGATAAATCATTCTCATCAACGTCTGTTACCCGCGGCTTTAAGATACATACCGATTTACGGCAGCACTGTATGCAGCACACCGCATGATTCCTGACGCAGACTTGAGAATAACCGTTTGGATCACTGTTCTGCTAACTTACCAAACGCTCCTATCGCATCAAGTCGGTCTGCGTCTTGTACACAATGAAGTTCAATACACGTGCGATGCCACTCCTCGATTTTTCCTGTTGACCTTAGTTTCTTCTCAGTCGTCCAAGAGACATTTTCTACGACCTTTACGATCTCACGCGCCCGGCCATCGTTAATCAGGTCTAGTCCGTGCTCCAAAGACAAAGATTGGAAGAAAGGAAGAAAATATCCATATGGGTCCGCTGCTTCGGTTTCCGACACATATTTCTTGTCCAGAACGTCGTGAAGTAGAGCTGCTAATTCCACGACCAGTAAATCAGGTTTCTGGGCGGAAAGAGCGCTGGCAATTGAAAGGGCCGTTTTGCGCACACGCTGTACTTTTTATATATGGTATGATGATGCATGATCTGGATCGTTGAACACGGGTTACATGCAAGTATCGCGTGTAATCACTGACCATGAAAAGCGTCGTGAGATGGATCATAACGCGCCATTGTTTCATTCATGAGGTTTTCAGCAGCCTGTAGAGCACCCTGCTCTTGGGCGTTAGGGTACATGGTGACTCAGAGGATCTGTCGTGGTTGACGCTGAGAAGAACACGTCGCATCGGCCTTCGGATTTATCCGATGGGCCCTGAAAGCCAGCTGTCACTCAACCAACAATCATATTGTTACATTGTCTCTTATAACCATGGCCACTCGTTTTGCGTCTCGCGCGTTGGTGCTCGCTCTTTTGGTATGCAGTGTTGTTGTCGCTGTAGAGAGTGCGCGGGATTCCCTAGTTGTTCGGGTGAGCTTCTTGTGTGTAACTTTCCTACGCGAACAAACGTGTCTTGTGGTGTAACAACCGCCCAGGAATCAGAAATACATGAATGCCCTTCCGTTGAGAAGCTCAGTGCTCTCAAAATTGCTGTGGAGGATGAGGAATCTCCAATAATGAGACAAGTATTTGCGTGGTTGTTTCCATTTGGCCCAGGCTGGAATTCAGGCAAGGGGTTCTCAGTATAGTGGAGTCTTCCCTTGATGCAACTTTTGTCTTACCAGTGCTTGGGACATTTTACATCAGCTCGTGCGTGTGTCTATTCGTTCCTTCATGCGTCCCGGTTCCAAATCCGCGACCTTCAAACAACGTTTTAGGGTGCCGAATTTTATTCTTGCATTTATTCCCGCGGAGATCCATCCAGACACACTCAATACGATGACTGCCTTTGCTGTTAGTATTCTTTATTGGCTAGACGCCCTGGGGTGAAAGGGCCAGGCTCTTACTCACCAGCTCCACAGACTGGAGGCCTTCTTTCTGACGTTTTTCTCCACCTCATCCCCCATGCGTTCATGGGAGAACATCAAGATCCGGGTGCTCACTTCGTAATGGTCGAAGAGAAGAGAAATATCCTTATTGGGTACGTTTGTATGCGAAACGTACCTGCAAACGCTCATTATAAACACAAGGCTGGGTATTTTTATTGGATTTGCTACCTTTTTCATAATGGAGAAATCATTAAGAGTGCTTGGGGGCGAGGATGGACACAGCCATTCGCATGGCCATTCTCACACTCATTCTACAGGTGATGCCGTATCTGCAGATTCTGCGCAAGCATCTGGAGCATCAACCTCCTTGTCACCTGATGGCCTTCGGTCACGAGGATCGGGGAAACAAAATGAAGTAGATCGTCAAGAACCCGTTGAACAAGCCCATGCTGCAACGGCACCTTCGAAGCTCTCAGCCTATCTCAATCTATTTGGTGATTTTGTCCACAACATGTGAATTCCTTCTTGATTCTTGTGTGCCTTTTTCTGATGCATCGTTTTCATCTAGCACAGATGGATTAGCGTGAGTGGCGGAATGTGCACGCGTGCGTTATGATTTGATAGTGGCTCACACCTGCTGGCACCAGCATGGCTGCATCGTTCTATTCTTCGCCCCTCATTGGTGCGACTACTACGCTTGCATGCTTCGCCCATGAAATTCCCCATGAAATTGCGGACTATTCTATTTTGGTGCGTAGTGGATTTACCAAAAGGCAAGCCATGCAATCGCAGTTCTTGACTGCCATCGGTGCATTTGTGAGTACCTGCCAGTTTTCGAGGTCAGGTGCCATTCTGATGCTTCATGATAGGTTGGGTTCGTATTATTGTTAGATTCATAGTTTCATCGTCGATCGCTGACCAAGCGAATCAAGCACATTCATGGGAATTGCCATCCATAATTTATCGGCGTCCGGTACAATGACAGAGTCATTGGACCTGGCCGCAGGGGTGCGGCAAGATGCTTCCGGGATCTTGGGTACCACTGTTCAACCAGCGGATCTGGTGATTGCAATCAGTCTCTAATCAGTTTCTTTGTTCACGGGATGGTTGGTGGCACAGGTAATCCCCTTTGTGGCCGGTGGATTTATGTATATTGGTGCCGTCGCGGTCTTGCCTACGTGAGTGACATATTACGATGGTACTGCCTGAGATTTATCGCACCATTGTTAGTCTGTTAGCAGAGAGCAAAAGCGGCGCACAAGCCCTACGGGAGGTATGGTCCTTTTTCCGAATTTTTGGATAGCTTCTGACTATGCGGCAGTTCGGTGCGATGGCCTTTGGAGTGCTTTGCATGTTCTTCGTAGCGTAAGTCCGCTGATGGGATGGTGTGTGACTTTGAATGACTTGATTCTTAGATGGAACGAATGAATGTGCTCGCACGTTTATTACCCCTCAAAGCTTTACTTCTCACTCGTACGTTAGTGCCATTGCAGATGGAGATTCGGAGGCTGAATCCCGGTCACAGAACTCATCCGCACGTAAATATTAAATATCACGAAGGTACCGCGCACGGATTGTTCCAAGTTGTGACGATCAAGTGGAGATGCTACTACAGTGTAGACAGTT